TGATTGTTTTAGCCACAAAAGACAAAATATGCTATTTTAATCACAAAAAATAAAATATCACATCTAATTCATGATCATCACACTCTTCTTTCACAAAAAAAGTCAAAAGTAAAAAAGTCCTTCCCAAACTAAGGGGTTGTTTGGGGTGTCCTAAATAAGTGCAATTTTATCTTTTTGGACTAAAAATTTGAGGAAAAAAATATGGATGTTTGGATTAACTTTTTGACTTTTTATGAAAAATGTGTATTAAAAAATTGTATAAATTAGTGTGTAGAGAAAAATTAGGATTGAAAGTTGTGCAGCCGTAATTTTTAACTTTTGGTGAATAGTGATAACTTTTTAACTTTTTAAATAATTTTTTGACTTTTTGACTTTTTTTTAACTTGCTAAACTTGGCCTAAGCTTTTTAGCCCAAGCTAAAATAGCCAAAAAAACCAAAAAGTCAATCCACTTCCCACACAGAGGCTTTGTATGGTTTGAAATTTTTAAAAACAATTTTTTATTTTTTATTTTTAGTCCTTTTTTTTTAAACATTTTAATCAATTTTTTTTAGATCTACTTAGTTATATTTAAAAAATACAATTTTTGTACAAATTTTTTTAATTTTTTTTTAATACAACAAAATATGAAAATTCAAATTTAAAAAAGCTAAAATACTTAAAAAATAAATTTCACCCATAATTTTTTGTATTTTTTGTCTTTGATAAATTTTTGAAAGATTTTTGCATAAATTTTGTATTTTTTATATATATTAAATGAATCTAAAAATTTTAAAAATTTGGTTGAAATATTTAAAAAATTCACAAAAAAAGTACGATTTTTTCTTTTTATAGAATTATGTCTAAAATGTAAAGAGAAGGAGAAGAATCTTTTTTTTTTTTTTTTGCACAATTTTTTGAATTTATATATTAATTTTATAATTTTATTATTATTTTAACATTTTTCTAAATACCCTTCGTCATAATTTTACAAATATTATTAATATATCATTTTGTATATATATTTTTTTATTTGCAGTGCCCTTTTTGAATTCATGGTATTGACGACGGCCACACTTGAAATTATCTATGCCTGGTGCAATGTGAACATGTTATAAATTAAAGTCTTATTTGTAACCGTGTGGTTTTAGGCTATGGTTGTTTGTCATATTAAATTTGACAAAATTATAAAAAAAAATTCACAAAAGACAACTAAACAGAAAAAATTTAAAAGAAGAGAAATTATAAAATGATTTGGGAGTTTGACGCTTATAACAAAATAAATTTTTAATTTTATTAATTTAAACGTTAATCTTTTAATTTATTTTTAATCTCAACTATCAATCTATTTTTGTTAAGTAAATTGATAAAAAAAAATGATATTTTAATTATTCAACTCAATGGAATTGTATATAAAATGTTTAAATATTTTTTTTTTTGAGTTTAATGATTAAAATATTCTTTTTCCGTTACTTTTACTTAACAGATGTAGATAATTAATTTTGATTAAAAATAAATCAAAAATTTAAAATTTAAATTATTAAAACTAATATAACAAAAATTAAAATAAAATTTCTCCCAAACTCAAAAGATTATCAGTGTGATTTACCCAACTGATAAATAAGAAGTTTGACCACCGATTAGCTGATGTGACTAGTTGGATTTTACTAGTTGGATTTTAGGTGGTAATTTTTAGTGGAGGTTGGATTTACGCTTTTGACTAGGTTAAAGGCCTCGTTTGAGAATAGGTTAATTTAATAATTTTTTAGTTATTTGGTTAAAATGTGAATTAAAAAAAATTAGTATGTTCGGTATGACTTTTTAACTTTTTATGAAAATAGCTCACCATTACTTGCTCGCAGGTGATCGGACATCGACGGAGCTTGGAAGAAAGGAATACGGGCACGCCGGAATATTTGCTCCCCGTACAGGATGCATTAAAGTGTTATTATGAGGGATAATAATCATATGTGTTGGGACGTTTTTTATAATAATCATATGTGTTGTACTTTTCAATAAATTTTTTTATACTTGTTCTTAGGATGCATTAAAGTGTTATTATGAGGGGTAATAATCATATGTGTTGGGACGTTTTTTATAATAATCATATGTGTTAGACTTTTTAAGAATTTTTTTTTATACTTGTTCTTAGGATGCATTAAAGTGTTATTATGAGGGATAATAATCATATGTGTTGGATTTCAAAGAATTTTTTTTATGCTTGTTCTTAATGCATTAAAGTGTTGTTATGAGTGTAAGACTTGAGGGTCGAGAGAAGTTAATAAATGTTAAGTTTTTTTTTTTTAAAATCAAAAAATTAGGAATTATTATGAGAGTAAGGCTTGGGAGTTGGGAGAAGTTAATAAATGCTAAGATTATTATTTTTTAAATCAAAAAATCAAGAAATTTAAATTAGGAAATTGGAGCTCCCACAAAGCTTGGGGCTAAAAATCCCATTTTGCTTAATATATAGTATAGATATTAAAGTTTAATATTTTGATAATAATCATATGTGTTGGTTTTTTCAAGAAATTTTTTTTATACTTGTTCTTAGGATGCATTAAAGTATTATTATGAGAGATAATAATCATATGTGTTGGGACTTTTCAAGAAATTCATATGTGTTGGATTTCAAAGAATTTTTTTTATGCTTGTTCTTAATGCATTAAAGTGTTATTATGAGGGTAATACTTGGGGGTTGGGAGAAGTTAATAAAATGTTAAGTTTTTTTTTTTAAATCAAAAAATCAGAAAATTTAAATTGGGAGATTGGAGCTCCCACAAGACTTGGAGTTAAAAATCCCCTTTTGCTTAATATATAGTACTAGCCTATCACCCGTGCTATGCACGGGATAATTATATATATTTATATTTGTTTTAATTTTTTTTAATATATAAATTATGTTTTTTAAGATTTTTTTATAAAAATAATTTAATAATTTTATCACTAACCATAGTGTACAGAAGAAATTAAAAAGGTTACTGCAGTAATTATGTACAGACTGTATCTATAATTATTTATATGAGGGGATTTTAAATGCTAATGAGAGATTTTGACCAAATCAATAAATGCAGGCATGTGGATTGGAAAAAGTTAATAAATGCTGATAAGAGAATTTTGACCAAATCAATAAATGCTGAGATTTTTTTTTTAAATCAAAAATTTAGAAAATTAAGATTGAGAGATTAGAGCTTCCATAAGGCTTGGGGTTTAGAAACTTCATTTTCCTTAATATATTTACAATTATCTATATATGTGAAATGCGATTTTTAAATGTCTTCTTTTTTTCCTTTTTTATATTATATTAAAATTTGATAATAATTATATGTGTTGGACTTTTCAAGGAAATTAAATGTCTTCTTTTTTTATTATATTATATTAAAGTTTAATATTTTGATAATAATCATATGTGTTGGGCTTTTTAAGAACTTTTTTTTATGTTTGTTCTTAATGCACTAAAGTGTTATTATAAGGGATAATAATCATATGTGTTGGGACTTTTCAAAGAATTCATATGTGTTGGATTTCAAAGAATTTTTTTATGCTTGTTCTTAATACATTAAAGTGTTATTATGAGGGTAAGACTTGGGGGGTTAGGAGAAGTTAATAAATGCTAAGGTTTTTTTTTTTTGAAATTAAAAAATCAAGAAATTTAGATTTGGAAATTGGAGCTCCCACAAGGTTTGTGGTTAGAAACCCCCTTTTGCTTAATATATAGTATAGATAGATATATAATATATAGATAGATAGATTGATTGAGATTTTTTTTTTCCTTTTTTTTGTAAAGAAAGGAGTATTCAGAGTAAAATATTTAAGAATAATAATTATGAGAAAAGTCAAAAAGTTTTGTGGGTTGGGAGAAATTAATAAATGCTAAGGTTATTTATTTTTTTTAAATAAAAAAATTAAGAAATTAGGATTGGGATATTGGATCTCCCACAAAGCTTGTGGGTTAGAAACCTCATTTTCCTTATATAATAGACTAGCCTATCACCCGTGCTATGCACAGGATAATTATAGATATTTATATTTGTTTTAAATTTTTTTGATATATAAATTATGTGTTTTTAAGATTTTTTATAAAAATAATGTAACAATCTTATCAGTAACTATAGTATATGGGAGAAGTTGAAAAGGGTACTGCAGTAACTATATACGGATTGTATCTATAATTATTTGTAGGAGGGAATTTTAAATGCTGATCAGGAAATTTTAACAAAATCAATAAATGTAAGCATGTGGAAAGACATGTGGATTGAAAAAATTTAATAAATGCTTATCAGGAGATTTTAACCAAATCAATAAATGCTGAGATTTTTTTTTTAAATAAAAAATAAAAAATATAGAAAATTTAGATTAAGATATTGAAACTTCCACAGGCCTTGGGGGTTAAAAATCTCCCTTTTACTTAATATATAGCATAGATATAGATATAGATATAGATGGGCATTTGGTGTGTGTTGTTTTGACATTATCTTTTTTTTTAATTTTTATATTCAATCTTCAAGAAGCATCCCAAATGGGTACTTCTTTGTTTTTTCTAATTAGTTAATTGAAACTACGTGAATTTGTGTACACCAAAGAATGGGGATAATTTTGTGTTAAAGTGTTTCCTAACTTTGCAATGCACTTATTAATATGAAATCTTCTTTTTTTTTTTATTTTTATTTTTATATATATTTTTTTATAATGGGATTAATATGAGATTTCTCTCTCTTCAAATTTGTTTTCCCTTTATATGTATGAACTCTTATCTTTCTCTGTTTTATTCCTCTCCCCTTTCCCTAAAAGCGTATCCCATTAGTTTTTTTTTAAAAAAAAAAAAATTTATTTTCCGAATTGAGGCCTAATTTTCCCATAATCAAATGTTTTGGTGTCAAATTTTATGTGTATGAAACCTTGAAGGAAAATGTAATATTAGTTCTTATTATTTTTCTAGTGTTTATCAAAAATCAAAAAATGTTACTCCACAAATTTCAATATAATACGTATAAATTATAATTATATTTTGATTTCAACATGTACGGACATACACTAATTCATTGATATTTCACAAATCTTTTTCTTTTACAAATCCAGGATTTAAACACAATATAAGTACTAATCTTCTCAACAAAGTAAAAGTTGAATAAGGAATCAAATTTATAAATACAGCCTTCAAATGAACTAATCATGTATGTACCTCTTTTATCAAACAATTTTGATTTGAAGTTGGGCCAACTCTCTCACTAAATCCTCCAAGTCCTTCCAAGAGCTGCCACCTATCTCAACTGCTTCCATTGCCTTCTGTCTCAACTCCATTGCTTTTACCTTCTGTACAGTGTTCCCACTCAATGACTTGGCAATGATCTGAGCCAACTCAGCGGAGTCAGGCACTGCATCGGCGCCCTTGCACACATAGACTGCCGCTTCCATGTCTTCCACCAACAGCCTAGTATTCACAAATTGGTCTGCCTCCATGGGCCAGCCCAGTATCATCACCCCACCTGCTAGTCCCTCCAATACCGAGTTCCACCCGCAATGACTCAAAAACCCGCCCACAGCTTGATGATTCAGTATCGGCACTTGTGGGGCCCACCCCTTTATCACCATACCCCTCCCAGATACCCGATCCTCAAACCCATCGGGCACAAACCCATATCCATCTGCCATTTGTTGGGTCGTGACTGACTTGACCACCCAAACAAACCAGACCCCGCTCCGTTCAAGCCCCAAAGCCAAAGCCTCCATTTGATCCCTCTTCAGCAACTTCTGACTCCCAAAACACACATACAACACAGACCCATCAGGACACCCATCAAGCCATGCTAACACACCCTCACTGGAATCCTTGTCCCGGTTGACCCGACCCATGGATCCAACCCCACCTGCCAAATAGAGTGGCCCAACCCCCCAAACCCGCCCATGCCCCATTTCCTTCCGCACATGGTCCAAATACTCACCCTCTAATGCATGAAAAGAATTAAAAACACACCCCCAACTTCTAGTATTTGCAAGAACACTATCCTTGAGAAACTCCGTATCCGGATCCAATTCCCTATATGCCCGGAACAAAGAAGGAAGGTGCCCCGCAGTAAAACTCGGCGATCTTGGTAAATCAGGAAAATTAACCACAGGTAAATTCCTGAGGGTGTTTATGTTTTGCCACAGAAAATTATTCACCGAGGTTAAAAAAGCTCCGGATGAGTAAAAACTGACCCGGGGGATACCGAGTTGGTGGGACAGGTGATGGGTCCACCCGAGGAAGAAATCAGAGATGATGGCAGTAGGAGGATTAGAGTGGGACTTAAACCACTGGATTATTGGTCCATGAAGCTTACCCAGCGCGTTGATGATCGGTACACTGCCGGAGATACCGATGTCTGCTGCGTTTTCAACTCCGGAGGGAAGAGATGGGTGGGGCGGGAAGGGAAGAACCAGGGTCCGGATTGATCGGTGGGTCGAGAGAAGTGGGTTCAGGGTTGGGAGGTTCTTAGGTGTGACCAGAATGGTAAGGGTGAGTCCACGGAGGGCTAGTTGGTGGGTTAGATCCAAGATTGGTAGCATGTGGCCTTGAGCTGGGTACGGGAAGATCAAGATGTGAATAGGTTGGGTGGAGTTGGACATAGTTTTTTGTTGGAGAGAGAAAGAGTTATTGTGAGAGAGAGAGAGAGTAGTTGACAACCATAGGTGGAAGATGAACAGCATTTATAAAACAATTGGGAAGGACAATGAGAAACGGAGAGAGACAGAGAGGAGATTAGAACAGATGAGATGAGCTGAGATGTGATTGGATAGTCCTAAAAGGGCAAAATTCAATGACTTTTCCCATAAATGGAGATTGGCAGACGTCAGTGTTTGGCGATGTTTTTCGTGAGTTAGAATATCTCCAGTATAGCTAAAGTAGTTATATAAAACTTTACTTTATTATTTTAGTTAATTATTTTTTAAACATACACTCTAACGACCCTTTCTATTTCAATCATATTTTTTTAAAATATTAGGACAAATTACATATACCTCTTGCGATTTGACTAAATTATAAATATTTATGAGATTTGAGAAATTATAAATTTTTTCTTGAATGCTATATTTACATAACAAATTAGGGGATAATTTGTTATGAAATTTAAACATAATGGGACAAATTCTTATGAAAATATAAACCTTAGGGGGTGGGATGTAATTTTCGAAACTTTAGGAGGATATCTGTAATTTAGCCAAACCTCAAGAGAGGTATATGTAATTTGCCCAAAATATTATTAAAAATTTTAGTGGTCGATAAAGTGGATGGCCAAATAAATGACCGGGGCCAACAAAAAATCTTTGAATAGATGACCGAGTGATCGACCACCAAAAGCTTGAGCAAAATATTATTTCAACTTTCTTCTTTTAAATATAAATATATTTATAAAAATACAAAAAAATAATAAAATTGAAGAGCACGCCTGTCCATAGATCAATGCACGAGAAACAAAGAAAATAATAAAAAATTTTGAGGCAAGTGCACAGTGCCTCGTCTCTTTTGACGAGTTATTGTAACTCAAAGTCATTTTAGCTAATTTCTGGTGAAACTGTTAGATGAAATAGTCCAACCCCTAAGGTTTTTACAATCTTGATCATTGGCACACCATACTGGCTGATGGATTTGTTGAAGAGCCTGATGTAGATTTTCAACCGCCCTCTTAAAAACAGCTTCATTTCTTTGAAGCTAGAGACCCCACAAGACTTTAATGGATTCAACCACTGCTGTCTCGTCTGGTGCCTTTCTAAACCAATATTCCAACCACACCTGGGCTAGCATAGCTTCTCCTATGTAAAAATCCAGACCCAATCGAGAGCCCTTCCAAATATATTGGGAGTGTGGACACGAAAAACAAAAATACTCAAGAGATTTCTCATTTGCCAAACAGCTTGGACAACTAAGATCTGTCAGTACTCCCCGTGAATGAAGAAAAACCTTAACTGGCAAAATCCTAAGTAGAATTTTCCAAATAAAAAGAGTCCATTTTGGGGGAATATTAAAATTCTAAAGTTGTTGCCGACAGTCCCACCCATTACCCTGGCTAATTGAAGAATTAACAAAACAGTCAAACACCACCTTATAGTATCCAAACTTTATTGAATACCTCCCTTCTCAAGTCAATTGCCAAATCATTTCTCTTCTGTCTTCTAAGGGAGGACGAATATTGCAGATATGCTAGGCTAAATCATCAGGAAAAAGGCCTCTAATTAAAGGTTCCCTCCATAGGTGATGTTGAGAATCAATCAAATGTTCCACCTTAAAAGAATTAAAATGCTGACCCAAACCTCTACCCATCATCCCATTTTGCTTGGTTGGAATCCAGTTATCCTCAAACGAATCAATCTTCTTTCCATTACCTACCACCCACAACAAACCTTTTGCTGTCGTTAACAATTTGTCTTGGATGCTAGATCCTCATTTTGACAGGATTTTGATTGATGAAGTATGGCTTCAGCACACCAAACAAGCGGGGGCTACGTGGGTTGCTTTGGATAGTAGTGGTAATGTTGTCGCGCACAAGCAATACACTTTTTGTGGCTCTCTCTGCACTAACGACTAAAGTAACATCATATTTCCAAGCTTTGCAATGGTGTGTCCAACAGCATGTTACGGTTATCTCTATCCTTACGGACTGCCAAGTGCTTATTCAGAAGCTTCGACAAAACGGTACAGAGGATTGGGAGACAATGAATATGTCGTTAGACATTAGGGCTCTTTGTAACAAGTTTGATTATGTATGTATTTCTAAGGCTTCTAGGAAGGCAGTGGAAGCAGCACATGTAGCTACTAAGGCCTTGTTTGGCAATATGCCGATTTAGTCAAAAAGTCAAAAAATTACTAAAAAAGTCAAAAAGTCAACAACCCATACCAAAAAGTCAAAGATTCTTTTTTCTCTCTACTTTTTGCACATCTTTTCGTAAAAAGTCAAAAAGTTATTCCAAACATACTAGTTTTTTTAGTTCATATTTTAGCTAAATAACAAAAAAATTACTAAATTAGTATGTTTCCAAACAAGGCCTAAGATTGCCTTCCATAGGAACTAACCACTATTGGTTGTATTTTGTTTCTTGTTTTTATGATATGTTCATGTTTTCTCCCAAAAAAAAAAAAAAAAAAAAAAACTTCTAGCGAGACTGTTGAAGACTCATTTTGGAGCTAGAAACTAGTTGAAATAACAAAATTGGTGATATAACAATTATGATATAGAATAGAAATTTTTAATAAAGTAGCTTTTTGTGATTTATTTAATATTTAATCAAAATACTTAGGGTTGGTTTGGGAGTGGTTTTTTTAATGTTTTTTTTACTAAAATATGAGGTATGAAAAAAACAAAAAAAAATGTTAGCCTTTGGCATTGTTTGAGAAGGGCTAAAGTGGTTGTTTTAGCCACAAAAGACAAAATAAGCTATTTTAGTCACAAAAACAAAATATCACATCTAATCCATGATCATCACACTCTTCTTTCACAAAAAAAGTCAAAAAGTAAAAAAGTCCTTCCCAAACTAAAGGGTTGTTTGGGGTGTTCTAAATAAGTTCAATTTTGTCTTTTTGGACTAAAAAATTGAGGAAAAAAATATGGATGTTTGGGTTAACTTTTTGACTTTTTATGAAAAATGTGTATTAAAAAATTGTATAAATTAGTGTGTAGAAAAAAATTAGGATTGAGAGTTGTGCAGCCGTAATTTTTAACTTTTGGTGAATAGTGATAACTTTTTAACTTTTTGAATAACTTTTTGACTTTTTGACTTTTTTTCAACTTGCTAAACTTTGCTTAAGTTTTTTAGCCCAAGCTAAAATAGTCAAAAAAACTAAAAAGCCAACCCACTTCCCAAACAGAGGCTTTGTATGGTTTGAAATTTTTAAAAACAATTTTTTTATTTTTTATTTCTTAGTCCTTTTTTTTTAAACATTTTAATCAATTTTTTTTAGATCTACTTAGTTATATGGGAAAATCGGTTTAAGGTCCCTATCCAACTTTTAGTAATGGATTAGGTCCACAATGTGTTCTTTTGTAGCCTAAGGTCCTTCAATGTTATTTTAGAGTGTAAAATACTTGTCTTACCCTTGTTTATAATATACATTGTTTTGAATTTGGCAGCTAAAGATCATATTGATATTTTGTGGGAGATTACGTGAGGATGAACTTGACGATTCAGATTTTTGTGGAGATTTTCTAGGATTTTTGTAGATGTTGAAATCCTGTTCGTTGTTTGTAGGTGTTGAAATCATGTTCATTGTTTGTAGGTGTTGATCGATCGTGTAGGAGTTGAAATCTGGTTCATTGTGTTTGATTTAATTTCATGTGGAGTTGAATTAGATAAGTTTTCAATTTTTGATTTGATTTGATCGTGTAGGTGTTGAATTAGGTTTTTGTTTTTAGTTTTGATCAATGTGAGAGAGACGAACTCAGTGTTGTTGTTTTTGATTTTTGAAGTTAATTTTTCATTATCTGTTATTGATGAATTTTCGATGGAGTTGATTTTGATTTTTGGAGTTGCTTTTTCATTCTTTGTCAACATGGTTATGAGTTGCTTTTTGGTGCTCTGTTTTTCTGTGTTTTTGTGCTCTGTTTTTTGTTCACTTTGCATTTTTTGTGTAGTGCAGAGAAAATTGCAGGTTTGTTACTATAATTGAACTCAAATCATAGAGAAAATTGTAAGCCTGTAGTGCAGTGAAAATCACAGAGAAAATTGTAAGTAGGCAGAGAAATTTACAGACATAGCAATAGAGTAGTAAGTGTTTTTTTTTTTTAAATTTTTTGAATTGAATGTTTTGTGAACATAACAGATCTTCTCTGTGATTTTTTTATGTGCTTGTGTTTAATATATTTTTGTCTCTTGATGTTAATGTGTTTTTGTTTTTGTTGTATTGAAAGTGAATATAAGTCCACAAATTTCTCTAGACTTTTCTTTGTAGTCCAGAGAAAATCATATGATTGTATTACAAATGATAAGTATTACAAAATTTTTTGGACTTATATGTTGTGTTTTTATGTGTTTTTATATGTTTGCACTTTTCAAAGTTTTCTGATATGTTTTCTTTGCACTTTTCATTTTTTTTTTGTTGCACTATTCATGTTTTTGGACTTTTCTTTGTAGTATAGAGAAAATCGTAGGTTCGTTATTATAATCCAATGAAAATGACAGAGAAAATATTAAGCTTGTAGTTGAGTGAAAATCACCTTGAAGTTGGTGTCGTGATCTTGATGCTTATTGCTTCTTTAACTTGGACTTGTTTTTTTTGTGGTGTTCTGGTGCTGCTACTGCGTTTTGATCTAAGATCATAAGATGCAGACACAGAGACTTTTGGTTTCTTTTTCGGGGTTTCTGGGGTTGTGCTGCTTCTGCGCTTTGCCATTTCTATAGAATGAAAACATAAACATTAAATCCCAGAGAAAATTACAAGGTAGCAATGATTACACAATAGAGAAAATTACAAGGTAGCAACATAAACATGACAGAGAAAATTACACAACAAAGAAATTTTGAGGAAATGGAGCATTGAACAAAATAAATATGCCAGAGAAAATTAGACACAAGACATAAACATAATGTGGCCAGAGAAAATTATAAATGCTGCCAGAGAAAATTAGACACACAAGTAAGAAAAGTAATTTGGCCAGAGAAAATTATAAATGCCTGAGAAAATTAGCCACACCAATAGAGTAGTAAGCCACAGATAATTTGTTTGAGAAAATAATGAAGAAATATAAATATGCCAGATAAAATTACACAATAGAGAAACACAAATGTAGCAAGGCAGAGAAATTTACAAAAACAAGAACACAAGAAGCTTCAATAAGAAGCCCCAAATGCACAGAAAGCAGTTCAATTTTGACAGTTGGAAGGAAAGCAACCCATCATTAGTTGGAAGCAAAGAAATTTTGGACTTCCAAAGAATTTCTTTGGATTCAACCCAGAGAAAATTCAAATTTCTCTGGTCCAGAATTTCTCTGGAACAATAAAACTCTGATTTGATCAATTTGTCATTGGTTTTGCTGCTGCTGATTCAATCACAATTTCCTGCACAAACAAATTAATAGTTCTTCTATGAGTTTGTGATAGATTTTCTTTAAACTTAATGGTATGAATTTCTCTGGGTTGAATCCAGAGAAAATTCAAATTTCTCTGAACCTGAAGATATTATATTCAACACTGATATGTATGTATCATATATATATGTATATATATGTTTGCAACCATAGATAAGATAACTAAGAGTGACTGTTTGATTATGGTTGCAAATGGTCTTAATTGATTAATTATCATATATACTAGTCGAGACAGTAAGCAACAGATTGTATATATATATATATGTATGTATCATATATATATGTATATATATGTTTGCAACCATAGATAAGATAACTAAGAGTGACTGTTTGATTATGGTTGCAAATGGTCTTAATTGATTAATTATCATATATACTAGTCGAGACAGTAAGCAACAGATTGTATATATATATATATGTATGTATCATATATATATACATCTATCAACTCCACTCCATTCTGTTTGTTTACCCAGAAAATCAAATTTGCCAAACTTAGTGCTTTTGTTTTGCTGAATTTGTTTTCGTACTCACCGAAAAATACCCAACACCAGTACCAGCATCACAAAGGAGAATATTCAGTAGACAGGTCAAAAAAATCAACTCATCTGAAGATGAACAGACGTAGGGTATTTTGGTCCAAGAAATTGATAAAATGCGCGGGTATTTTGGTTAGGGACCTGAGGCAATATTACATTTTTTAATGTCCTTTATGCAGAAAATTGTTATTATTAGGGAGCTTAAAAAAAAAAACCCTAGTTATATTTAAAAAATACAATTTTTGTACAAAATTTTTTTATTTTTTTTTTGAATACAACAAAATATGAAAATTCAAATTTAAAAAAGCTAAAATACTTAAAAAATAAATTTCACCCATAATTTTTTGTATTTTTTGTCTTTAATAAATTTTTGAAAGATTTTTGCATAAATTTTGTATTTTTTATATATATTAAATGAATCTAAAAATTTTAAAAATTTGATTGAAATATTTAAAAAATTCACAAAAAAAAAGCACGATTTTTTTCTTTTTATAGAATTATGTCTAAAATGTAAAGAGAAGGAGAAGAATCTTTTTTTTTTTTTTTTTTTTTCCAAATTTTATGAAGAAATTTGTGAAGGAATTTGAATTTTTATATTAATTTTATAATTTTTTTTTATTATTTTAACATTTTTCTAAATACCCTTTGTCATAATTTTACAAATATTATTAATATATCATTTTGTATATATTTTTTTTTATTTGCAGTGCCCTTTTTGAATTCATGGTATTGACGACGACCACACTTGAAATTATCTATGCCTGGTGCAATGTGAACATGTTATAAATTAAACTCTTGTTTGTAACCGTGTGGTTTGAGAGTCCGGATCCTCTCCAGCCAACCTCTTCAGCCATTCCTCCTGTCAATGGCCAAGATTTGGCCACGTCACTTAGGCTGAAGAGGACGGCTTAGATCAAGTTTCGTTAAAAAAAAAAAAAAATCAACACAGCAATAGAGTTTCCCTCTGTCAAACTCTCATCTCTCTCTCTCCCCTAAACTCTCCTCTCTCTTTACAGGAGCACTGTCGATGCCAATGCCAATGCCGTGCTGATTCCGACGCCGAACTACCATCACCAAGCAGAAGTTTCTTGCTTGTCCCTACCATTCTTGCTTCTCTTTTCGGCGTGGTAAAAACGATTTGCAACAGTGGAACAAATCTAGATTCAAATTTGAATCGAAGGTCAATCAGATATCAATTGAAGCTCAACCCAATCAGTTTAGAGCTCAATTGATGCTCAACCAATTCAGAGATGGGTTCAATGATATAGGTTTCCATGTTCATGGTTCAACGATCTGGGTTTCATGATTTGGGTTTCAATGCTCTTGTAATGTCTGGGAGATCATCGACATGCACGACTTCAAGAAAATCAAAGCATTTCTCTTCATTTCTTACTTGAATATTCCGGTTTGAATTTTGGCATTTTCAATCTCTCTAATGGATTGCAGATTAGAGAGAGAAGGTTTGTGGGTTTGAAGAGAGAGAAAGAGAAGAGGTGAAATAAAGGAGAAAAGGAAGGAGACATAGGCTGAGAGGGCACTAGAGATGGCTTTGCCGGCCGAATGGGACGCCGGAGTAGCTCTGCAAGCCGAACGCTCTGTTGCTATGGTGAAAGAAAAAAAAATCAAAATTTTTTTTTTTAAACCAAACTTGATCTGAGCCGTCCTCTTTAGCCAAAGTGACGTGGCCAAATCTTGGCCATTGACAGGAGGAATGGCTGGAGAGGTTGGCCGGAGAGGATCCAGACTCGTGGTTTTAGGCTATGGTTGTTTGTCATATTAAATTTGATAAAATTATAAAAAAAAAAATTCACAAAAGACAACTAAACAGAAAAAATTTTAAAAAAGAGAAATTATAAAATGATTTGGGAGTTTGACGCTTATAACAAAATAAATTTTTAATTTTATTAATTTAAATTTTAATCTTTTAATTTTTTTTTAATCTCAACTATCAATCTATTTTTGTTAAGTAAATTGATGAAAAAAATGATATTTTAATTATTCAACTCAATGGAATTGTATATAAAATGTTTAAATATTATTTCTTTTTGAGTTTAATGATTAAAATATTCTTTTTCCGTTACTTTAACTTAATAGATGTAGATAATTAATTTAGATTAAAAATAAATCAAAAATTTTAAATTTAAATTATTAAAGGACTAAACAGTGCATAAGTTATTAATTTGGGATTTATTGGTGCATCCCTTTTTTTTTTTTTTTTTGTAATAGTTCAGAAAATGTTTTTGAAAATTCAAAAACCAAACATACATTTATCGGTGAACCTTACATGTATCACTGTCGAATCTCTAAACTCGCGTGGACTTCACGTAGAATACAATTCTTCTATCATAATAATTTCTATCCTTCTTTTTTTTTTTTCTCTATCTCAGTATATAATCTCACAAGCCAAACACACTCTCTTACATACACAAGACTGTTTATTTGCTTCAATTCCAGTAACCCAATACCACAAATTCCAAATGGCATCATGGGTTGTAGCCAAAATTGCCTTCCATCCTCCGGCGCCGCCGCGGTACGACATAATTTCCGATGGGCGAACTTTAAAACTGAGAGTTTATGATGTTCCTGAGGAGAGAGGTGAAGTGTTGAGGCTGCGGACCAAGACTGGCAACTATATTGTCTGTGTGTATGTGAGGGGCCGCCAATTGGCGACGTCTCCGGCAGCGGCGGCGGCGGCGTTGACGGTGCTGTACTCTCACGGGAATGCTACTGATATAGGAGAGATGTTCTCTTTCATCACTGATCTCAGTGATCAACTTGGCGTTAATGTCATGGCGTGAGTACTACTACTCTATAATGTTTGTTGGGTAAATTGATAGTTCCGGTGGGTTAGCTGAAGTGTCACTTAAGTTTTTATGTGGTAATTTTAATTTAAATGTTACATTTTTAATTTTATTGTAATATATATATATTTTTTGTTATACACCATAAATATTTTAAACAGAAAAAGATCACATTCAAAATTAGAAGGATCATAGTAAAATTTAAAAGAAACTAATAAATTTCATTGATAATCTTTGGAATTTCTTTTAAATTAGTTTTACATGTGATCTTTTTTTCATTTAAAATTCTGCTGACAAATGACAGAGGGATCATATTGTTACAAAACTAAAAATATAGGGTTCAAATTGAAACTACAAATATGAAAGTGAAATTTTGTCCAAACTAGAGGGACTAATGGTGTAATTTACCCACATTCGTTTCATATCACATAAATATAGGCCTAATTACAATTTTAGTACTTATTACTTCATTTTGATTCCTAATATTTAAATTGTGTCAATGAAGTTCATAATATATTAAAAAAGTACTTTAATTTAGTCTTTAGCCTTACTCTATTAATAAATTCCGTTAAAGTAAGAGATAAATGTGTAATTTTGAATACCAAAATAACACAAATCACATATTTTAAGACTAAAAGTATAATTTTTTCAAGTGAATTTTTACATTTATATATGATTTTAATGGCACTTGCTAAAGGATACATAGGTTGAGGCACTAAATTAGAATACTTTTTATTCATTGGAGGCTAAATTGATTCAATTTAACCCTTAGGAATTAGAATGACACAAACCCCATACTTCGAAAACTATTATGTAATTCATCCCATAAACATATTCATATCAAAATGTTAGGGTAAATTACATTTTTAGCTCTATAGACCTAAATTCTACTTGAGGTTTATTATTTCAAATTGAATGATTTGGTCCTTACATAAGTCTAGTTTCAGTTTGATATTTTCATTCTAGTTGGAAGTTAAAATTAACGATTTTAGGACACTTATTGGTTTCTTAAGGTGTATACGTATAAAAAATCAACGAAAATTGGGATAGAAAGACTGAAGTGAAATTTGAATCAAATTATCACTACAAAAAATTAAGATATTAGAGACAAAAATTTAGAGACAAAATTATTTTTTAGGAACCAAATATTTTTGTTGAGAAAAGTGTTGTTATTGTATTTTTAGCAACGAAAATTGAACATTAGTAATGAATTATTATCCTTTTGGGGCCAAATTTATTGTCTCAAAAACTAAATGATTTTGAAACCAAATTATTTCGTCCCTAAAAGTCTATTTATTAGTGACATTTTCAAAATTTTGTCGCTAAAAGCCTTGTTTTTTATTTTTCGGAACAACCTTTTAGCAATTATCCTCACGACGATAAAAATTGGTCCCTAATGTCTTTTGCAACAAAATTTTCACTTTTAAAAACTAAAAAATTTGGTCTCTATAGCTTTTATATGTTGTAGTGTATAGATGTAAAATATGTAATCTACCCTAAATGCTTCGTGTCATAAATTTTTACTCTAAAACTAAAATATGTGATTTAAATTTAAAGTTAATAGGAAGTAAGTAATTCCACAATGGAAATGAATTTTCTAAATTTTTTTCTATAGTATTCATGTGAAGTGCTGTTGTCGAGTCTTATTAGTGGTATATGACAAAATAAATAATAGGTTTGAGATGATCAATTTAGAGTTTGTGAATTTATTGTTTTAGTGATTTTTTATTTTTTTTAATAAAAAGATGTATAAAAAAATAAAGAATATGAGTTAATTTTTTAGCCTTTTGACTAATTTAGCATGTTGTGTAAAATAGCCTTAATTTCTTGTGCTATGCAGGTATGATTATTCTGGATACGGCCAGTCCACTGGAGAGGTATGCTACTTTTGAGCTAAGTGATCATTATATCTTTGGCAATTTTTTATTTTTGGTCAATCAATGGGAAAGTAATTATAAATACGAGAAGTTCATCAAACTTAGCTCAATCTTCTCGATTACATATGTTACACACAGTTTGTTTCTCTCTTTTTTCCCTCCAATACATAGAGTAGTTTTTGATCAAGTGGAAAACTGTTGATTTTGCCCCCCAAACAAAAAATTACAGGCAAGTGAGGAGGAAACATATGCAGACATAGAGGCGGCTTACAAATGCTTGAGAGAAACCTACGGAGTGAAAGAAGAGAACATAGTATTGTACGGACAATCACTTGGAAGTGGACCAACGGTGGATTTGGCTATTCGGGTCCCAAGATTAAGGGCTGTGATTCTCCACAGTGGACTCCTCTCTGGCGTTCGTGCCTTCTTTGGTTCCCTCTACTTCCTTAACCGATCACTCTACTTCGACATTTATCAGGTTTCATTCATTTGATTCCTATTTTTTTTTATCATTGTTTGTTGGTGCGTGATGATACCACAGTTGTTCCGGTACTGTTTGAAATCTCCAGCACTGATTATTTGTTTTACTCCTTGTCTTATATTTATCATATATTTTCTTATGTCGTTATAATTAATGGCTAAATGAGTATAAGATAATGGGCACAAAAAAGTGTGTGATAGATGATCCGAACTCTATTCTTTTTTTTTTTTATGAGTAACCATTTTCTCCCTTCTTTTGCAGAATGTGGATAAAATTCCTTTTGTGAATTGCCGAGTTCTTGTCATTCATGTACGTATACAAATCCTCTCTATTCTTTGATTTCTACCTGTTTATTTTAATAGTTATTTTACTAATACGAAAACCAATTGGACATGACTTCTATATTAGTTTGTGTTTATACTTTTTTTCTTGCTTCATAATAGTATTGGTATGTTTAAAATGAGTGTAATTAGAGGAGTCAACGATTTTAGGTTGTGTTTGTCATCTTTAATGGTGATTAGTGTAGTTTGCATGTTTGTCACAATCAATCCTCTAAGATTTGGGAAAATTTATATTCGTCACATGATGTATTTTACCATTTTATTCGCCTCCAAGTGTATCTATACAACAAATTGCATGCGTATTTGTAAAATTTATCAATTTGAAAAATAACGAGTCATATTATCGTAGATGAAAAACTACATAGATTGTAAGAAGATTTCGTAAAAATATTATGATAATATATAACAATCCTAATGACAACTCAAAATTTGAAACTTCAAATTGTAAGAAGTTAATTGAGTTGTAATAAGCGCTTTAAAGTGTAAATCACGAGTTTGAATCTCATAGTAAAACAATATTGACTTAATATCTGTGGAATAAAGGAATTGCAGGGACGTGGAGCCACCACAGATATCCTTAATACTAAGATAGATCAAATAATTTTTTTTAAGTAGTCCATTTGACATTACTTTTTGGTGATTTGCAGGGAACAAGTGATGAAGTTGTGAGTTTCTTCCATGGTGAAGAGCTTTATAGACTCTGCAAATTTAAGTATGAACCTTTATGGGTCAAAGGAGGAAAGCACAATGACCTAGTCGTCAACTTTTCACATTTATTTTGGACCCATCTCAAGAAATTCATATCAGCCATTAAGAGTTAGAATCATTGTCAGACCTATAAATTACTTCTTATGTTATGGCAGTGTGATAGACTCTATGACATTTATGTTGTGTTTGGTTGAGGGATTTGAGGAGGGATTTGAAAAGGGAAATGGAAAAGGTAGGTGAAATATGAATAAAACATGTCTAAATTTCACATAGTTTCACACACCTTTTTCCTTTCCCTCCCCAAATCCTCCAACCAAACACACCATTAGGCACTATATATGCTGTAATGAATAATCTGTAGTACAAGGCAATAATATAATGGAAAATTATTCAAAAATTCCATTTGGAATAACGTTACTCTATTTAGTTTTGGAAGTTTTTTTTCAAATCAATTAGTCTTTTTATTTATGATATATTTTGAAATTTACTTGTTTAACCTTGAGTGTGATTTTGGTTATGATTTTTTCCTAATATTTGGGTGGGTTGGTTATGGTATGGTGTTAATTTTTGAAATTTTTGTGGAGAATTGCGTGGAGTAATTTGTGGGGTTAGTGATGTTTAGCCATTTGATGCGGAGGGGATGATGTGGAATCGTAGTGTTGTTGTTGGTTGTTATTTATTTATTTATTTTTGTTTGATTTTAACACTACCACTCACACAAGACCCACCACATACATGATTCTAACAAATGCACCTTCATTATTATGCACTTTCAGTAGCATGTATACTTCCAACAAATCATCGCCAATAACATGCAAGTCATCAACATTCCATATAAACTAACATACCTACAATTGCAAACACTGACGCAATGTGTTCATTGCTTCCATTGAAATTGGTTAATTTTTATTAACATGAAAGTCACACGTCCTAACATTTACGTGGACAATCGCAATCAAATCCTACACCAAAATTGACAAAATCTTTCATCTAGAGGTGTGCAAAAAACCGATTGGCCCGATTAACACCCGTCCAATCCAAACTGAACCGACGTTCAACGGTCGGCTCCATCAAAGTATATGGTCGGCAGCGGTTACAAATATTTGAAAATCATAAAGTTTTGGCCAATCAACGGTCTCAAGAAAAAAATAATTACTTAAATCGAACTGGCCGAGTTATTTATATAATTAACAATAGGACATAGTCAGTGGCAGAGTTAGAAAATTAAGTTAGAGGGGATGCTTATTGATTATAATTTTTTACCTAAAAAAAATCATGATCAACATTAAGATAATAATAATTTTATGAGCTAAATTTAAGCATAAGAAATTAAAATTCATTATTAATATAAACAAATCAAAATTCTATAATTGTGTGTAATAGCTTGGTATGGGATAGTGATGTAAGTTTGTAATTTTAGCACAAAAAATTATGGATCAAAATTCTTAATTTTAGAAAATAAAAACACATCATTTATAGCACAAATTGTTATAAAATCTATTTAATTTTTATTTGACAAAAAATATTAAAGAGATGATATCGCTTATAAACTATGTGTTTTGAATGAAAATTATTAAATAGTCTTAGAGTACCATATATGGCATTGCTTATGTGATGTTCAAAACATAAGAAATCACAAATTACACAAAGTAGTTTTGTCAACTACCTAAAAGTAATGAGTTAATTATATTCAACCCATATGATTTTCCACTACATTATTGGTTTAGACTATTACATAAATAATACCACATAGTGCTCTTAAAGTATTAAATAATTACTTATTGTGAACAATATAATAAATTCTTAACAAAATTACATGTTAACCACCAGGATTGGTGGCCTGGTGGAGAATGCGGGGCATTCCACAGCTGCGTGCCAGGGTCGATTCTTAGGGAGGGAGTGTTTGAAATCACTTCAGTGAACACGCTCTATAAATCCCCTCAACACCTGTCCACTGCTGTGGCGTGTGTTCACGCTCTATTGGTGCCCTGGTGGTGGGTCCCTCACTTAGTGGGGGTTAATCTCTGACTGGCAACCGGTTACCCCGGGGTCAGGGCCCAACGGGGCTATGATGACATCACAGAACCCTTTTTTTTCATGTTAAAAAAAAAAAAACAAAATTACATGTTAAAAAAAAAGAATACATTTTATATATGACCACAAAATAAAAATAAAAAAAATTCAAAATTAAGGAGGACACGTGACCCCTGAGCCTTCTTTGGCTCCACCCTGTACATAGCTGTCGTTTGTTATTGGCTCTTGATATTACACTAGCAGTATTACCTTATGAGTAATGCTAGAGACCCCAAATATTCTACCAAAAATTTTACCAAATGTCTCACATGGGTGTGGGACCCACACAATATGGATCCCGTATGGATCCCACACCCATATAAAACATTTGATAAAACTTTTAATAGAATTTTTGAGATCTCTAACATTTTTGTTACCTTATATCTTCATCAGCAAAAGTCAGTAGAAATTGAAAATAAAGACTAACCCACGTAATGGTGTCATATCTATTGAATCATTAAATGCTCTCTTTTTTTCACAAACAGCAAGTTCGAAGTTCAGCCCTTCATCTTTTTCTATCTTTTCCTTTCTTTCTCTTCACAAACAATCTGAACCCGATAGTAGAGCAACGATTTGAAGTTACGACGAAGAGCTCAAATTGACGAAACAAGAAAAAAATAGAAGGCAACATTTGCCGGCGATGGTTGATAAAAAGCTACAAAGACGACGACATGTAACTCTTCATCACTCTAATCTCATCATCCTCCTGCCAATCCCTTCATCCCTCTCTTTTATTTAACTTCCCTACTGAAGCCCCCTTTTTTAGTCCTCAACTTTTGCCGTCTCTCCCTTCTCACCCTCCCTCACTCCCTAAAACGAAGAGTTGATAAATATTGCTCATCCGAACCGAATACTGACCATAGAAGAGAGACCTGATGCTGTGAGGTTTCGAAGAGTACTTGGTCGAAACCGGGTGATGAATTTCCATACCCAAGGTGGTCGGGTCAAGTGACAGTTTGGCAGCAAAACCGAGCCGACTCGGCCGGGCACCACCTTACTTTCACCACCAATACAACAAACCCTCACGCAAACAGAACACATTTCTGAAGGCTTCCATTAAGCATCCTAAGCATCTATACCATTAATACCACTTCAAAAAAACAAAACAGTCTAATATAACATTTCAAAAAAATTCTTTAGTGTAATACTCTAATATCATACATAATTTTTTTTTTATTGTAACACTTTAATGTAACACATAAAAAAATTTCTTAGTATTTTTTTTTTCCAAACATAACACTCTAAAAAAACTCCTTAGTATAACACTCTAATGTAACATAAAAAAAAAAAAATTCTTAATGTACTTTTTTTCAAACGTAAAACTTCAACCTAACACTCAAAAAAAAATTTCTTAGTGTAACACAAAAAAAAAAAAAAAAAAACCACTATGGTGTACTTTTCTCAAACGTAACGTTTTAATGTAACCATTTTTTTTTTATTTTTTTTTAATGTATTTTGCCTAAACGTAACACTCTAATGTAATATTAAAAAAGAAAAAATGTGAGATTCTTCGAATCATTCTAAAAAAAATATAAATATTCATTAGTAAGTTTTGGATAAATATATATTTTCAAACTGCGAGTGTTACATTTGGATAAAGTACACTAATCAGTTTTTTTAGTGTTTTTGTGTGTTACATTGGAGTATGTTACATTGGAGTGTTACGCTTGAGATTGCACCGATTAGAGTGTTAGGTTTGAGAAAAGTACACTAAGGAATTTATTTATTTATTTATTATTTTTTATGTTACATTGGAGTGTTACGTTTGAAAAAAGTATACCAATGAACTTTTTAGTATATTACATTGAAGTGTTATATTATTAGAATGTACATTAGAGTGTTAGTTTTTTGTTCCTTCTAAAATGAGAAAAAATCCAAAATTTCTATATTACAAATTGTCCAAATGTGTAATTTTACATTTTGAGAAACCCACTTTGATCCTTAAAAAATTAAATTCAAACATGTAAGTGACTATTCTTTTATGTAATTTTTACTTTAATAGGACTTTTTGGTTCATAAGAAAAAATGGAAGACTAAACAGTTTATAAGATCACATTTTAAAATTTATTAATGTTTTCTCATAATATAATAAAATAAACAAAATGGGAGGAGAATAAAAAAAATGATGTTACATAAAAATAACTATTGCCATATTATTCAAGCCTTAACATCGAAACTCAAAGTATGTGGAGAAAGAACTCATGATAAGTAGATGTGCGTTTGATAATGTTTTTTTTAAGTCATTAGTGCACTTATTTTTATTTATATATATATATATATATATATTTTTTATGTTTTTGAGTCTTACTCCAAAAAATGAGAAAAAATTCTAGAGGAAAAAAAAGGGGTTGACTTCTGACTTATTTTTCTCTTCGCTGAACATTTTTTAATTTTTTTCAAATTTATTTATATGCTAGATTCTTCTACACAAGATAAGCTTTAAAAAGAAAATTGACATAATTAAAAACAAATCACTAAAGATTAAAAAAATTCAAAAAAAAAAAGGTGACATTTTTAGGTATATGCGCAACTCAACCTAAATTTGTCATAATTAAATAAATAAAAGAAGTATCTTGTAAATAATTTTATAATCTTCTCTTAAATTAATATGTTAAAAGGAGACATGTATTTATTTATCTTATATTAAAAATTCATGCTTTAATTTTTTTTCAAGAAAGAACAGGAGTAATAGGAATCAAACTAAGGGTATGAACTCAGGAATTGTGGCACTTTGGTAAGATTTTGGGGCATAAGTCTTGAGATTTCAAGTTTCACACTTCGAAGAACCAACTCTCAGAGGTTTGGTGTAGTGGTTCTAGGACGACCTTCTAAGTGCTGGACTACCCGTATCTAAGGCTTGAGTGTGGGGTCGAATCTTGACAGCTGTATTCTCTGACTGAAATGGTGTGTGCGTTGTGCAGTCGGTGCACACATCCGAAATTTGCCTCTCGTCCTATTTTGATTAATCGACATTAAAGTAGTTAATTTTGAAAGACAGGCTTAGTGGATTTATTCGTTAATAAAAAATATAAGGGTAGAGGTTAGAGTAGACCTCCATGCTTAAATCCCAGCATAATATTTTGTATTTTACAACAAATTTTATTTTAGGTTTTTAATTTTTTATTGTAATAGTTAATTTTATACTAGTCATTCTCCAATTAGTTACTAGCTAAATTTGTTAATGAAAATGATCATATGACACTCATATAATATATTTTCAAGCAAAAATTTAATGTTTTTTTTTAAAAATATTATTTTCTTTTATTTCTCTATTGTGTTTTCTTTCTACTAAAAAAAATCAAAGAAAATTACATTTTCATCTAAAAAAAAATGCCCACAATAATTTATATTAGCAAATTTTAACATCAAATTAGCAAAAGAATCATTTTGCAATTTGATAAAAAATATAAAAATTAAAGGGTTAATTGCACTTTTAATCATTTCAATTTGACTCAAGCTTCACTTTCATCCATATTGTTTTAATTTGAACAGTTTGATCATTATACTTTAAATATAGTTTCAGTTTAGTTATTTTGTTTAAGTTAGAGGTTAAAATTAATGATTTAATTTTTTTTTCAATTTTATAAGTTGTACATATAGAAAAAAATTAATGAAAATTTGAACGAAATAATCAAATTAAAACTAAACTTAATGTATAGAGACTAAATTATTAAAATTAAAATTATAAAGACCAAAGTGAAATTTAAGTAAAATACAATGATAAAAAAATGTAATTTATCCAAAATTGGCTAATGTAATTAAACAAATAAGACCAAATTAAAATTAATATAAAATGTAAAGGTGCAAAAGTGTAATTTATCCTATAAGTTTTTTTTGCTTCTTTAATTTGTTTTCTTAAAAATGTCTCAAACATGTAAATCAAAAAAAATCGAAAAAAAGAAAAGAAAAGAAAAGTAATGGATATTATGGATGCTGAAATGGCAGAATCTCCACCTTATAATTCCACCAGAAAACTTCCAAACAAAACCCCTCTAATTGTGTTGCTCTTTCCAGAACCATCCTCTCTCTCACTCCCTTTAAACCCTCTCTTTTGCAATCAGGGTTTTTCTACAAGAAACCCTCACTCTCTTTGCGTCTCTCAAATCTCTCATCTTTTTGTTCAACCCAACAAACCCATATACACAAATCACACAAATAATCTATATCTCTTATCAAAATCCTATTTTAGGAGTTTCTTTATCTAACTCTGTTCTTAGGGTTTTATTCATGGCTCCTGTACTGAGCAGAAGCTTGACTTCTGCTTCTGTGGCTTCTCTTCCTTCCTATTCATCTTCATTTTCATTGAAAAACAACAGTAAAGTCTGTAACCTCAAGAGGAGTTCTTTGTTACCCCAAAATGGTCTCAGAAATAGCTTTTCTAGGTCTGCTCTGAAGTGGAAGCTAGAGAGGAGAGAGAGAGGATTTGTGGTTCGCTGTGAGGCCGCTGTTGCTGATAAAGAAGAAGCTCCCGAGACCTCCGGTGAGCAATACGAGTACCAAGCCGAGGTGGGTTTGTCTTGATTCCTCATATTTTGGGTGTTTTGTGATTTGAGTAATTGGGATTGAACTTGTTTTGACTCTTTTCAGTATTGGGTCTTTCTCTTGACTCTTTTTGAGTATTGGGTCTTTCTCTCTCTAACTTGTGAAAATTTGGAACTAACAGGTCAGCCGCTTGTTGGATTTGATAGTTCATAGTCTATACAGCCACAAGGAAGTGTTTCTTAGAGAGATAGTGAGGTGAGTATATATGATTTTATAGCTCATTTTCATATTTTCTGCTTACAAGTTTGTCTTTATAAACTGGATTTAGAATTTTGTATGAAGTCTATGTGCATTTGTTTTCTTTTTCATCATTTATAGATGAGTGATATATGGATGATTAATTTTCCTGTTTCAGTTTATGTACTTTCTTGCATCTTCATGTGAAAATTTTCATGAAAAAATTAGAAGAGTTTTGTGCAGATATATTTGTTGACTTGATTCTGTTATCCTGTGGCAGTAATGCAAGCGATGCTCTTGATAAATTGAGATTTTTAAGTGTGACTGACCCTTCTTTACTTGGGAATGCTGGGGAGCTAGAGATTCGCATTAAACCCGACCCAGAAAATGGAACCGTCACTATAACGTATGGTGATTCTATTTTCTATTTAATACCTTATTGGGAAATGAGAATGGTTCGCTAAGATAGATTTATTGGGTACTGTAGGGATACTGGTATTGGGATGACCAAAGAGGAGCTCATAGACTGCCTTGGAACTATTGCTCAGAGTGGTACTTCGAAATTCTTGAAGGCTCTTAAGGTACTTGTTTCTCTTCACGTTGTCTATTTCGAATTATCGGTTGCTGACTGTACCTCAATATTTTCATTGCTATTGAAACTAATTGTGTGACTGTTTGTGTAGGAAAATAAGGATCTTGGAGCTGACAATGGTTTAATTGGTCAATTTGGTGTTGGGTTCTATTCAGCATTTTTGGTTGCTGAAAAGGTGCACTCACAGCTTTCATTTAATTGATATTCTGAATCTTCTGATTCAGGTTTTTGAAGTAGGGGATTTGCTTTCTCAAATCTTGTCTGAGATGCAATTGGAGTTTGATTTTTATCTTCTTTTTTGATCAGGTGGTGGTCTCTACAAAGAGTCCAAGGTCAGACAAGCAATATGTCTGGGAGGCTGTAGCTGACAGTAGCTCGTATGTGATTAGGGAAGAAACTGATCCTGAAAAGCTCCTTCCCCGTGGAACTCAAATTACGCTTTATTTAAGGGTACTTTAGCTCTTCCTTGGTTTGCATGTCAGGGGTGTCTGTTTAAATGTGAACATATTATTAAATAGTTATGAAAATGTTGGATGTGGTTGTTGCAAATATCATTGAGACAACCCCTATGCTATGTTGTTGAGGTGCATTAATGCTACTGGATGGGAATGGTCTGGAACAGTTTCAAGAAAATCTGTAGAATTATTGTCAGAGAATTGTATCATTTTGTACTGCGAGTGCAAAAAAGGAAAAAAAAGAAAAAAAAAAGTAGTAAGTTTTATAACCAATTTTCCCACGTTTTCCCCAACATAAAATGCAACTCATTAATGCTATGGGATGGGAATGGTCTGGAACAGTTTCAAGAAAATCTGTAGAATTATTGTCAGAGAATTGTATCATTTTGTACTGCGAGTGCAAAAAAGGAAAAAAAAGAAAAAAAAAAGTAGTAAGTTTTATAACCAATTTTCCCACGTTTTCCCCAACATAAAATGCAACTTGTCCTGTGGTCTTTCTTGCAGCCGGATGACAAATATGAATTCTCAGAGCCAACCAGAATACAGAGTTTGGTGAAGAATTACTCACAGTTTGTTTCATTTCCCATCTATACGTGGCAAGAAAAGTCAAGGACTGTTGAGGTGAGGATACCGTTTTTCTTTTTCTTTTGGTAAGAAACACTTTAATGTTGATCTATTTGCTGGAAGAAGCGGATGTATTGGGAGCGATCAAGGACTGTTTGCTCATGTCATTGATTGATTAGCTTATGTCATTAAGTTATTACATATTAGAGTGATGTGATCTGCTAAAAGCCAATGATAGACGCTATAAGGATGACTGATTTCTCTAGATGTAGTTCTTATGTGTTTGTTCTTGGTTATAACTTTGAGCAGGTGGAAGAGGAGGAAGAGCCAAAAGAGGGAGAGGAAACCAAACCAGAGGTAACAGCTTGAAATTCTAATGTCTAAGCATGGAAAGTGCTGTTTGCATTCTCAGTTTGAATGGTATTCAGATAGGTTATCTATTCTTGTTACAGGGTGAAAAGAAAAAGACTAAGAAGACTAAAACTGAGAAATATTGGGACTGGGAGTTGGCCAATGAAACTAAACCTATATGGGTGAGTTCAAGCAATATCTATCCTATAAAATCATGAATCATTATATTTGGTTTTGAGTGTTGACATAAAAGGTTGCTATTGTGCACTTATTAATATTGGGCATGTTTGGTTTGTCTCTCAAAACATCTTTTTGGAGAAAAAAGTCCAAAAACATTTTTGGTTGAATTATTTATAAAAAAAAATTTCAAAATCACTTTTCTCTTTATTACACATCAATTAATCATTTTTTCACTCGCCTCTCTCCTTCTCAATCACTTTTTCTTTTACCCATCTATTCAATTACAAAAAAATATCAAATCATCCCAAACTCTTAAACTTCAAAACTATTTGCAAAATATACAACCAAACAAAATTTTAAATTTTGTAAACTCTCTCCAAAAAATTATTTTTGAAATAATATCTCAAAACACAAACCAAACAAGGCCAAGTTTCATATTTGATTTTGTATGATTTATTTACTTGCTTGGTTATTTGTCTTCTGCAAATGTAGATGCGGAATCACAAGGAAGTTGAAAAGGATGAATACAATGAATTCTACAAAAAGACTTTTAATGAGTTTTTGGATCCGCTTGCATACACTCACTTCAACACAGAGGTACTTAATGCTTATATTGAATGAAACACTCAATAACATAAAAGGCCTGGTATTTCACCTTCAGCTTAAAATTATTTGCAGGGTGAGGTGGAGTTCAGAAGTGTTCTCTACATTCCTGGCATGGCACCTCTTAACAATGAAGATGTTGTGAATCCCAAAACAAAGAACATACGGTTGTATGTGAAGCGTGTATTTATTTCAGATGATTTTGATGGTGAACTGGTAATTTTTCCATTGATTATTATTTTTTTTTGCAATATATGAAATTTTACTGTTAATTATGAAGAAGTACTTGACATAGATACTGGTTGAATCAGATTGAAAATCCCTGGTACTGTTCTGCTTGGATTTTGTGTTCCATCAGATTAACATTTGGTTGTACATGCATTTTCTAAATATGATCTTGAAGACATCCAAATGTTTGGCAAATTTTCGTACTCAAGAAGTGGAGAACATTGCTTTTTGCACAATCTCAGATAACTTATTAGCATGCCAAGAGTTCTTAACATCATTTAAACCAATTGAATTTATTAAACCAATATATGAAACTCACAGAAGACCTTTTGTCTCAATAAATTAGGTAAATTCTCATTTGTCTTTGTTCTTCAAAAAACAAAAGTATTGTGCAATCTCAAATGAAGGCATGCTTGAGAACATAACCTTTGATAACTCTTTAAACTAATTTTGAACTTTAGCTTCAAGTTTAGTAAGGCAAATCCATTGGAGGGTGAAACCAATGGTGGAGCTTTGAAGACTATATATATATATATTGATTGGCGAAATCTCCTAAACATCCCTAATACCCCACCCCTCCCAAACACGCATTCCCCCTACAGGAGGGTGAAACCAATGGTGGAGCAATCTCAAATGAAGGCATGCTTGAGAACATAACCTTTGATAACTCTTTAAACTAATTTTGAACTTTAGCTTCAAGTTTAGTAAGGCAAATCCATTGGAGGGTGAAACCAATGGTGGAGCTTTGAAGACTATATATATATATTGATTGGCGAAATCTCCTAAACATCCCTAATACCCCACCCCTCCCAAACACGCATTCCCCCTACAGAGTCTTGTACCCCCAACCCCCCATATGAGCAATTCAGCTCTATCTGGAGTCATGTCCATTGCCAATTTGTTATGAGTCTATTGTCTAAAGGATCTAGTTTTTCTCGCTTAGTTTGTCTTTGTTCATAGGGTGCCTTTACTTGGAATGATATTCTTTTGTTGGGTAAACATGTTAATCTTTGTTGTGTATGGTGAAGGATGTTTGGTGACTTTCCTCATCTTACCCTCTTTTGCTTCCAATCGTATGGCAAGCAAATAAAGGTATGATAATGGACCTAGGTTAAAATTAGAAATTGTATATGTAAAATATCACATATAGGGCATGTCATATTTGAGGAGGCTTTTTTTCAATTTGTGCATGCATGGAGTTGCAAATTCCCGAGAGAAATAAATTCAATTTGTTTTATTTGCAGTTTCCACGATACTTGAGCTTTGTGAAGGGTGTGGTGGATTCAAATGACCTTCCTCTTAATGTGTCTCGGGAGATCCTTCAAGAAAGCCGAATTGTAAGACCAATTATATTCATATCTATCTATACTAAAGTATTTGTGATTAGGACTTGTGTCAAGGATTTATTAATCTCTTCTTAATCACTTCCAGTTTTATATATATATATATATTGGATATATTCCTTAGCTCTATATTCCTTAACTTGCAGGTAAGAATAATGAGAAAGAGGCTTGTCAGGAAAACATTTGACATGATTCAAGATATCTCTGAAAGTGAAAATAAAGAGGTTTGGACTGCATAAATCGCAGATTGTTTCCTCCCCTCCCTTCCCCCATGCTTACTTTTAGACTTAGAAATTGATGTAAGTTATTACAGGATTACAAAAAATTCTGGGAGAACTTTGGAAGGTTTCTAAAGCTAGGATGCATTGAAGATTCTGGGAACCACAAGCGCTTAACACCTCTCCTGCGATTCTTTTCTTCTAAAAGCGAGGAGGATTTAATAAGCTTGGATGATTATGTTGAAAATATGGGTGAAAACCAAAAAGCTATCTATTATTTGGCAACAGACAGCTTGAAAAGTGCCAAGACTGCTCCATTCTTGGAGAAGCTTCTTCAAAAGGACATTGAGGTAAGTGCATGTGCTTTATCTAGTTTTTTGACCCTTGTTAGTGTAAAACGAAGTTGACCCTCTGTCAGAGCCAAGAGTTTGTGCCTTTTTTTTGAGTCTCTTCTTATCTCTAATTTACTTCTGTAACTTCTTTTTGTTTCCTTGTGAAACCATTCTGGCTCTCTCTCTCTCGTGCGCACACATATATAAATAAAATATTGTTTGTGTGGGCATATATTTTTCTGTTGGCTTTGCTGCTTTTTAAGGAAATATACTTGCTGCATTCTGTCTTGATTGTTGATATAATTTCTTTGTTTACAGGTTCTATATCTAGTTGAGCCTATTGATGAAGTTTCCATCCAGAATCTGCAAACCTATAAAGAAAAGAAATTTGTTGACATTAGCAAGGAAGATTTAGAGCTTGGTTAGTATTTTTTTTCTTTCCCGAGTTGTCGTTTTTGGAAGTCATTTGAGTATGTTCCTATTGTAGTGCGTTTGGCTTGCATCTTGACATAATAAGATCTTTTAACAGGTGATGAGGATGAGGTCAAAGAAAGGGAAACTAAAGAAGAGTACAATCTTCTTTGTGATTGGATAAAGCAGCAGCTTGGTGAGAAGGTGGCAAAGGTCCAAGTTTCAAAGCGTCTTAGCTCGTCCCCCTGTGTTCTTGTTTCTGGCAAGTTTGGATGGTCAGCTAATATGGAAAGGTTTGAGACGGTCTTTCAATGCTTTAAAAATTCATGTTAGTGCAGTCATGAGTCATCCACATGAAGGGATGAAATCCTCGCTCTTATTTTATAGGTTGATGAAAGCACAGACTCTAGGAGACACTTCAAGCTTGGAGTTCATGAGAGGAAGGAGGATATTGGAAATTAATCCTGATCACCCTATCATTAAGGACTTAAATGTGAGTTTATCCTATTCAATACTGGTTAACCACCTTTGAAGCCTTATCATAAACTGGTATTTCAATTGTTGAATGTCAATTACTCAGACTACTGGATTAAAAAAAAGTTAAAAGTTGCCTGGAAAAGTGTAGGCAGCTTTAATTTTCAGCAGTTTCAGTTAACACCTTATTGGGAAAAAGCTTGAGACCCCTAAAACATGATCCCTAAACTATTTAATGTCAGTTATTGATTGGTTTAAAAATCAATGACCTAAGAACCAACCCCCTGAGATATCATTAGGACTGAATTAAGGGTCATGTTTTAGGGATCTCTAGCATTTCTCTTGTTGGTAAGAAGGCAGCATGTTTCTTGAATATCTTAAAAAAATTGCTGGAAACTTTGGATAATAAAAGCTAGTTTCATTATAATTTTTCCTGAAGTATTACTTACTATGACGGCACAAGATTCCTTTTCGAAATGTGCTTTCTGCAGGGTTTGATTCACTAATTGCATTAGTTACTTTTTGGCTACCTGCTGGTTGTTATTTCATGTTCAAATGTTGTTGTGACTATATCTGATCTATATCCACTAAGAACATAAGTGGATACAAAATTAACAACACAGTGATAAATGGAGTGAAAGCATGAAATAAAAATATTTTTAACCTTGATAGATATTGCAAAAATTTATGTATTATTGATTGATGTGTATTGTTGTATTTTATATTAATGTCTATTACAAATGGTTCCTTATATAGATGTAGGTGTAGTGGAGTAGGTGGTGGTAGGTGAGGAGTAGGTGAGTGTAGTAGGTGAGTGTGTGGTAGGTGATGGTAAATTGGTGGTAGGTGATGGTAAATTCTAACAGATATTGCAACTATTTGCTGTTGGTTTCTTCCATTCCATCCTCTGCTTCACGTCTTTATTTTGAGGAATAACCTTACAAATGGTTGACTCAGACTATTTTCTTGTAAGTTTTACATTATTCATGGGATTCCATTGTTTCTTTATGTGAACTCTGTATATCGAACAATAATTGAGTAGGCGCAAGTGTTGCTTATTTATTTATTTATTTTTCAGTAAGTGTATTTTATAAAAGAAGCACCAAGAAGGTGCACCCTTATATAAGACACAAGTGCTGGTTAAACCTTTTTTTTATTATGTTAAATTTTGCACATGTGAGACTTGTTAAATGCCATACTGACTAAACTTCATTTCAAATCACGGTCTGATTTTTAGCTATTTCTCGTGCAGGCTGCATGCAAAAACGCACCCGATAGTACTGATGCCAAGAGAGCGTTAGACCTCTTATACGACACAGCATTGATCTCCAGTGGATTCACAGTAAGTGCCAACATAAACAATGAATTGTATATCTTTTGTTCCAAGAGTAGATCAAATCAAATCATGTTATTCATTCATTTGCCTTTGTTTGTGCAGCCTGATAGTCCAGCTGAGTTGGGTAACAAGATATACGAGATGATGGCAATGGCTCTTGGAGGAAGGTGGGGCCGGTCAGAAAGCGAGGAGGCTGAGCCGCTGGAAGATAGTGCTACTGAATCTGATGGGAGTGTTGATGAAGCCACGGAGACTGAAGTCGTTGAGCCATCGGAAGTGAGAGCAGAGAATGATCCTTGGACGGATTGATAGCTTGTTAATTTACTTTTACATGTGGTTTCTTCATTGTTTTTGGTGGTTGTTTTGCTAAAGTGAAGGGAAATGTTGCATGCAAACGGAGAGGGAAAAACTTGTAGGCAGTGAAAAGATTATTGAACTTCTGTTTTGGCTGTTATTGATGTTGAATCTGTTGTTGATAATCTAATCGCAATAATTCCGGAGTTTAAACAGTTTATTAAATTGGAATCTAAGAATTTTATTTTTGAATGTTACTTTGTTTTCTGTTTTTAATTTATTGTGTGTTTTGTGTGTGTAGGGGTTGCTGACTGAAATCTTCCTATGAGGAAGATGTGGCTCTACTAGGAATGAACGATAAGATACAAATTAGCGCACACAAGACAACTAGGTATACAAAACTGTTAATTTATTAATCTTCTTCACAAAGAACACTCACACTTCAAAATCGGAACTCTTTCATGCCTCAAACTGTTTCATTGTTTCTTTTGTTTATTGATTGTGAATTTTAAAGTGTTAGGATTGGGCAACTCTTAATTCTTGAGTTCCACTTTACTTTTTTGGTGCGAGTGAGTTTCACTTTACTGAAGAAACGGGGTTTGTACGTTTGGGAAAAAACATTAATGACTGAGGTCTCGTTTGACATGTGAGTATTTTAAAAATTAAAAAGTTATTAAAAAAAATTAAAAAATGAATAATTTATATTAAAAAATCAAAGATTTCATTCTTTTTTGTTTTTACACATTTTTGTAAAAAATTAAAAAGTCATTTTAAACATATTAATTTTTTTTTTATCTCATATTTTAGTCAAAAAATTACTAAAATAACAGGTTCCCAAATGAGGTATGAGTGTAGAAGAGTATCGTTTTTAAGGATATTGCGATTTTTCATGCCTTGATCACTTTAAAAGCTATTTTAAAATTGTTCAGTTAATATATAATTTTGTTATTTTTGATTGATCGTTACTATATTATTGGTAAAATAATTATTTTATCAGAAATAATTATTTTTGATTGATCATTATTATATCATTATTGTTTTTGATTGTATTTTTGAAATTAATATATTAGACTATTAGTGGTTGTATTAATAGTGATAGTGGCTATGACAGTAATAGCTTCGTGACATTAATAAGATTTTAGTATTGAAAATGTTTTTCACATTCTAGAAGTAAAAAATATTTTCCACTCAAATAAATTTATTTTTCATTAATTACGGTATAAATCTTCGATAACTTTTGTTTTTTATTATACTAAACATCATAAAATAAAATAAAAAATATTTCTGCTCAAACAAACGCATGGTAATTTCAAAAATGAAATAGTTTCATTCACAAATTTTAATGGGCCTTGAAATATTTGTATAAAGAAACAAGATAGTCACTTGGTACTGGGTCAGCCCATCTACTAAGCCCGTTGAAAGCCAAATCCAAAGTCCAACCCAATTACTTTAAACGGGTCAGGGTCAGGCTTTTGAAATCCGAAGAAAAAAGATCAAAGTGACGATACAGCAGAGAGTAGAAAACATAGGTTTAAGGAGGGTTTATGGCGGCTACACGCCGTTTCGAACTCATCTCTCTCTTCATGGATCTCAATCCTCAATTTTTCTCGCACTTGTTCTTTCCTTTATCTTCGCTGTCATTTTCTCTCTGATTTTACCGGAAAAATTCTTATTTATTTATTTATTTATTTTTTATGTTCTGTATCATCTTCAATATTTTGTCAAACCTGGAGGGGTATATATGTAATTTGCCCTTTGTTTTTTATTATACTAAACATCATAAAATAAAATAAAAAATATTTCTGCTCAAACAAACGCATGATAATTTCAAAAATGAAATAGTTTCATTCACAAATTTTAATGGGCCTTGAAATGTTTGTATAAAGAAACAAGATAGTCACTTGGTACTGGGTCAGCCCATCTATTAAGCCCGTTGAAAGCCAAATCCAAAGTCCAACCCAATAACTTTAAACGGGTCAGGGTCAAGCTTTTGAAATCCGAAGAAAAAAGATCAAAGTGACGATACAGCAGAGAGTAGAAAACATAGGTTTAAGGAGGGTTTATGGCGGCTACACGCCGTTTCGATCTCATCTCTCTCTTCATGGATCTCAATCCTCAATTTTTCTCGCACTTGTTCTTTCCTTTATCTTCGCTGTCATTTTCTCTCTGATTTTACCGGAAAAATTCTTATTTATTTATTTATTTATTTTTTATGTTCTGTATCATCTTCAATCAATCTCTGCTTATTTATCTACAACCCAATTGATCAAACCTCAATTTCTCTTGAAAATGTGGAGAAATTTAACTAGACAAGCTTCTTTGAAGAAGTTGAAATCCTCAGATGAGTCATGTTCTTTCCTTTCTTCTTATAGCTCTCTTAAATTTTATCAAGATTCAAACTTTACTGAGAAAATCAGGCCTTCCGAGACCCAAACCCATGTGAATTATGAGTACTCAGTAGTGGGTTTTCCACAAAGAAGGGGATTGTTTTCTCAAAAAGAAGAAATGGGTATGTGTAATTTATCATGTTTCAGTAACCCTTTTAGTTTTTCTGGGTTGTATGGTTATGCTAGAGCTTATGGAAGTGTTGCTGAGGCCATTGATTCTACTGAAGAAGAAGATAGTGACGAAATTCAGGAATTGATTGAGGAGATGAACAGAGTGAGTAATTTGGAGTCTAATGTCCAGCAAGCAAAGCAGCCTAAATTGGTTGGTGGAATGGGAGAAGGGAAGTACCATATGCTTCGGAGGCGACAAATAAAGATGGAGACTGAGGCTTGGGAAGAGGCAGCTAAGGAGTACCAAGAACTTCTAATGGACATGTGTGAGCAAAAGCTTGCACCCAATTTGCCTTATATGAAGTCCTTGTTCCTAGGTTGGTTTGAACCTTTGCGGAATGCGATCGCTGCAGAGCAAGAGATGTGTAAGGAAGGGAAGAACAGGACGGCTTATGCCCCGTATTTTGATCATTTGCCAGCGGATATGATGGCGGTTATTGTAATGCATAAGCTGATGGGGTTGTTGATGACTGGGGGAGCGGATGGGAGTGCCAGAGTGGTCCAAGCTGCTTGCCAGATAGGTGAAGCTATTGAGCATGAGGTGAGTGAGCAGCTTAGAATTTTCATTTTCATGTTCTTCGTTTTCTTGTAGTTGGGTTGCGATTTTTTTTAGTGGAAAATATGCCTCTCATATTTACACCTTAGAATTGCTTGGCACAATCAACCCCCTTTTTTTCTGATAAATTTGCAAGTCATATAGTATGTGGTGAGTTCATATATGGCAAATAAACATGAATTTCAATTCATGTGAAAAATATGATAATAAGATCATTTGCATTTCAGAGCAATATGTTTGCATTGGTTGACATCGTTTTCAGTTGTGTTAGTTCAATAAAGACAGCTTACATCCGATTCAACCACCACAACTGATTGAAGGTTCTAATTGCAGGATTACCATGTTGCAAATTGAAATTCATACCTGCATCTGTTCTAATGATTAGCTATCACTAAATTTACCCTAATGTTCCAAATACGGTTATTGTATTTCATATTTTATTTGGAGTATTCATGGTTGCCTAGAATTTGCCTTGTGCAACCATACAATTCTGCTAACAGCAGGCCCTAGTTGGAGGGTGCTGAGTTTGTGTTTGTGAAGGACTTGACAGCATTGCGAAATGCTCAAGGTGGCAGTGTGCACCAGGATATTTGTTTGTTTTGGAGATTTATGTTGAATTTGTAGCATTTTTGTGGTTTTGGCTGGTGCAAACTGCATCTATGTGGTGGCACCAGCCATATTTTATAGGCTATGAATAAATAGATGGTTACTTATTTCATTCAAAGGGAGTGTTTATGTATTTATATATATATATATTGCAAGTAATATTTTTTTACTTAGTTGTAAAATATACGTTAAATGTCTGTAATACACTGCCAATTAAACTGCTAAACGTAACTACAAAAGCATAATAAATCCTCATTACATTCTTTATCATATGTTATTGTCCCTATTTTGATTTGTTCATTCTTCATGTTTTCCCTATTTCATCATGATATAGATTGAGGTTTTCATACTTTTTTACTGTGTATACTATATCTATATATATATTTTCCCTAACGCATGATAATTTTCTTTTGTATTGGTAGTTTTTTTTTTCCCTTCCCTTTTCTCTCCTGGGATTTATATAATTGAGTTGTTCCATCCTAGTTGGATCAATGATTCTATGTCAACTGGAACTCGCTCTATTTCAATTATGCTTTGAATTGTTGAATCTCGGTTTTAGAATGGAAATGTCAACCCTAATAAGTGATTCATGTGACTAAGCCATGTATTCTAATGAACTAAGAAAGCTACAGGTTGGTACTTATCTTATTTGGTAAATTTTAAGGCCCGTGCTTCTCCATAATCCCCAGGAGTTCATTCGCTATCGTTATGACAGGAACCTTCCTTATTGAGATAAAGAGCCCCCTGGGGGAGACTTCATTCAATAAAGGGCAGGGAAAGCTAACTCACTTATCACCCAAATTATCATAAATAAAAAGAGGAATCCATTCGCTCTTTTCTAACGGAGTTCCGCACCAGGACTCAACCCATGTATTCTGATAAATTAAGAAAGTTCATCAAAAACCTCTATTGAAGTTGGAGTGTCTTTTTCAAACTCATCAAGGTCACAAGCTCTAATGAAGTTCATGAAAAACCTCTAGTGAAGTTGGAAGGTTCCTGTAGAACGGTCCCTCCCAAGTGTTCCCTATGAGAATGAGGCTTGAAGGACCATGGCGAGTGAAGGCTCTAGGTGAGCCATGGTGCTGCCGAGTGGGTGAGCTTGGCTCTGTCACGTATGCCATGAGCCATGTCAAGCTCTTCATACTTTGATTCATTCACTTTGGAACTCTTATCTACTAGGGCGGTAGCTACGCTAGTGAGTGGAGTATCCATATTTGGTGGTGTGTGCCCCCGGTTAGGCTAGGCGTTCAAACCCAATTAGTCCTATGAGGACGTTGTGGTGCCTCCAAGGTCTGCCACATCTGGGTATGGTGATAACGACGTGGCTCCTGTAGGGCTTGCCATGTGTTGGGCATGGTATGCCCACACCTTTTAAGGGGAATTAGTGTGCTTGGTTTCAATTTTTTGAATTCAGTTTTTTGAAAACTGAGATTTTTGTTTTTTGTGTTTTTTTATTTTTAGTGAATATTTTTTAAACTTTAAGTAATTTTTTTACTTTTTTAGATGCACTTTACTTAGATGTATCTAAATAATAAAATATTTGTGAAAAAATATTTTAAAAAATTAATAAATACATAAAAATACGAAAATGTACTAAATTTTCATATTTTTTGGTATTTAGTGTATTTTTTAAAGATTTTTTTTCACAAATATTATACTTTTTAAGTGTATTTATGTTAGGTGTGTTTAAAAATTAAAAAAAATTGCTTAAAATATCAAAAAAATTCATTGAAAACATTAAAATACGAAAAATAAAAAAGTAAAATTTTCTGAAAACTGTTTTCTGAAAACTGGAACCAAACAAGCTGATTATTTTTTATTTTTAGGGATTTGAGTGCAGTGTTTGATTTGTAGTTTGTGACCTTGATGAGTTTTTCCTTTTGTTTACTTTGGTGGACTTCTTGTCTACGATTATCTTGTACCCATTTTTTATTTTTTTCCATTAATTATATCCTTTTGCTGCTGAACAAAAAATTCCATGCAAGTTTTGCCGCCACTGGACAAATTTTTTGGATCTGTTCCTAAGCATAACTTGGCTTTTGGTTGTTTATCTGGTGAGTTTTGAGTTTATAGAGCGGAATAATTGTTGGGCTTGTGAACTCTCTCTCATTGTTTAGAAACAAATCTGATATTTATGAGGGCATTTGTCTATCTTTTTGTACTAGGGTTGTGCTTCTTTAGACACTTTCTAACGAAATGATATTACCTTAAAAATTGTGGGCATTGGTATCCCTATAAAGGGAGATGAATAAAGCACGTAGTTCAAGCAGCTATGCATCACGTAGTATGATATGACATAGTTTTTGTGTATTTAAAGGGTTTTCGGCTTTACTTTTCAAGTTCTTCTTCTTGTTCTTTCTTCCAGGACTTTAGATTATGGAATAATGTTTAGCTCTGTTACATTCTAAATTCAAGGTGATAAATTTTTGTGCGTTACTTGTTTGAAGTATTTTTTTTGTTTTTCCTTTCTACTTAAATACTGGAGATATTTGGACACAAGCTTCTGTTTTCTTAGATTTACTTGCATTCGGATTATTCTGCCAGTGTCTGAAGAAGAAAGCCTTTTAATGGCTTAACCTTCGGGATGTGTGGTTTCTCAGCCATTGTTCATTGAACCTCACAAATGAAGCCGATACTTTCTTAGCATTGTCTTGTATATTGACATCTCCAGTGCCTGAATCTATTAGTAAACATTTTAACAGTAAATTCTGAAGTGGAACGCTACTATGGTTTTTGACTAAAGAGAATCTATTCCTTCATTTTTTAGCATTTTACAATGAATTTTAACCTAAGAAGCACGGACACTTCTAAGAAGGTGACGTATCCGTGTCATGTCCGTGTCGGACACCAACACTCTTTGGACACTCTTAGGACACGTGTCCTATTTTTTAAATTTTTTAAAGACCCGGACACTCTTTGGACACTTGGTAGACACATGTGTCAATCGCATAAACACACATGTCTATCGATTGGACACATGTGAAACTAATCATAAGTTTAAACAAAACAACTTAAGATACAATAATAAAACAAAAACCATATAAATTTATAATAATTAGTATCATATTGTATTTTTTATTATCTTTGAATGATATATTCATATATATAACATACAATAAATATATAAAATTACATATTTCATGCGTGTCTCCCATGTGTCGTATCCTTCATTTTTTTGAAAATTAACGTGTCGGCGTGTCCGTGTCATATCCGTGTTGTGTCATGTGTCCGTGTCCGTGTCCATGCTTCTTAGATTTTAACTCTGTATGTGCTGGACTGTCCAGTCCAACTTATTTGCCATCTTCAATGGGTGATTGCTTATCTTTTATCTCCTTTCCGGACCAGGCTAGGATACACAGTTTTTTGGAAAAGACAAAGAAGAAGAACATATTAAATCAGAATCCTGAAGAAGGATCTGATACTGTTGGTAAAGAACAACAGAAATTAAGGAAAAAGGTTACCATCTTGATGAAAAAACAAAAGGTGCAGCAAGTGAGACAAATAGTGAAAAGGCATGAGGATATAAAACCTTGGGGCCAAGATGCTCAAGTCAAGGTTTGTTCTCTTCACAATTATGGTCTTCTTCTTTTTCTTTGTCACTATTATCATTAATAGTCTAAGACATTTTATTAAATGTATTTTCCAGGTTGGCTGCCGTTTGATTCAGTTGTTGATGGAAACTGCCTACATACAACCTCCAGTTGATCAGTTAGGAGATGGTCCACCAGATATTCGCCCTGCATTTATTCACACTCTCAAAACCATCACGAAGAAGGAAACACAGTGAGTAAAAACAATCTCTCTCTCTCTCTCTCTCTCTCTCGTCAGCCATTGCTATGGATGAATTTGTGTTTTTTTGTTTCAATAGGAAATTCAATTAAAATAGTTAATAAATGTGATCCTTTAGTTCGCAAAGGCCTGGAAAAAACTGTAAGTATGACATATAATTCTTGCAACTGTTCAATTGCCTGATGAGCGCTACAAGCAATTCTAATTGACCTATAAAAATCTTGTCGCATTTTTAAATTGCAACCCACACTTTTTGAAAATGCTATGTCTTATAGATTCCATTTTCTGTTTTCTGAACAGGCTAGGCATATGGTGATTCCATACATGCCAATGTTGGTCCCTCCACTAAACTGGGCAGGGTATGACATTTCATATTTTTATCTTTTTAGATATTATAGTTTGTTTTCATGATTTATGTTTTGTTTAGTCGAGCTGAACAGCTAGATTCTAGTTTTCAGAATTTTATTTTTCTATAGAATACTGAAACTTGGATTCAAGAAAATTGATCCCTTTTCTTTTTTCTTTTCCAGTCAAGCTAGAAATAAATGTCTTTTAATTATTGGAAATCTTTCAGGATTGTGTCTGGAGATTATTATTTTACTGTGCTTGGTTAACTTTTTGTGTCAACAGGTATGACAGAGGCGCATATTTGTTCTTACCATCCTATATAATGCGTACACATGGAGCAAAACAGCAACGTGATGCAGTAAAAAGGACTCCAAAGAAGCAATTAGAACCTGTTTTTGAGGTTTGAAATCCTTGGGTTTCATTACTTTGGTTCTTCTATGTTGTGTGCTTTTGGATGATTTATGGAACATTTTTCATTTCAAATAGCTTTGGGGAGTTGGTCTAACCAATTTGTTATGTTTACACTGGAAATTGGAATTACTCTTTTGTCGTTCTTATTGCAATGATGCTCTATAAATTTTTCTGCATTTCAGGCCCTTAATACACTTGGTAGTACCAAATGGAGAGTAAATAAAAGGGTTCTTGGTATCATAGACAGAATATGGGCTAGCGGAGGCCGTCTTGCTGACTTGGTTGACCGAGAAGATGTTCGTTACTTTTATATAAAAAGTTTTTTTTTTGGCATTTAATTTCTCTCCTCCTTTGGTGTCTGTTCAATAAAAATCTTGTTATTCCATTATGATTTGATATGTGGCAATGTGGGCTGATTTTAATAATGAATCTTTTTAAATTATTACAATTACAGGTTCCTTTACCCGAGGAAATAGATACAGAAGATGAAGCAGAAATCAGGAAATGGAAGTGGAAAGTTAAATCTGTGAAAAAAGAAAACAGTGAGAGGCATTCACAGCGCTGTGATATAGAACTAAAACTTGCTGTAAGTAGCTTCCCTTTTTAATTCTTGTTGCGCTCATGGTTATTAGAATCTTATGATTCACATTTCAATTTATATGATTCGATACGAGTTTTAAGCAAAATGATTCGATTCGTGCAATTGAATCTTGAATTGAGTGAATCTTATGATTCGATTGCAATTCACTATGATTCATTGCCATTAAGTTCTATTTGCATAATGCATGAAACAGTGTTGTTTTCCCAAAATTAAAAACAAAATCAATTAATTATATAGATATACCTAGTTTTGTATGTATGATATATCTATACAATTTAGTTATATTGATATTTATTTCATTTTAAACACTATATCTGCATTTTTACATGTATATACACATATAAAATTATATATTACATTAAATGTGGTGAATCTTACGATTTGTGATTTGATTTGCGATTTGACAACAATGATTGCACTGTCAAATAATCTGATATAAACTATATTAATCATTTTAATTATGGTGCTAGGTTGCGCGGAAGATGAAGGATGAGAATGGCTTCTTCTACCCACACAATCTTGATTTCCGTGGCCGTGCGTACCCGATGCACCCATATTTGAACCATCTTGGTTCTGATCTGTGCCGAGGCATCTTGGAGTTTGCAGAGGGACGCCCTCTTGGCAAGTGTGGCTTACAGTGGCTCAAGATACATATGGCAAATTTGTATGCTGGTGGTGTGGATAAGTTTTCCTATGAGGGTCGAATTGCATTTACTGAGAATCATTTGGATGATATCTTTGATTCAGCAGACAGACCTCTTGAAGGAAGGCGCTGGTGGTTGGGTGCAGAGGATCCGTTTCAATGCTTGGCAACATGTATTAATCTTGCTGAAGCATTGAGAAGCTCCTCTCCAGAGACTACTATTTCGTACATGCCTGTTCACCAGGTACTGTAGTCTAACCATAAAAAAAAATTGATCTGGGAATTCATCAGCAATATGTATGTGTTTGTGTGCATTTGTCTGCTCAAAAATTGAACAAGGCCTTCAGTACCAACTATTTGTTCCCATTTATAAAATAGAAGAATGGAAACAAGATATGGACTAAGAAAAAAAAGAAAGAATAACTTTATGCCAGCTGGATCTATGAAATGAACATAAATTTTATTGAGCTTTGTTTCCAAGTTATCAATTGAAGTTGCTCTTAATTTAATTGATTACATTTTTAAAAGATCCTGTTTTTTATTCTGTAAGCAATGTGCTTGCAGAGGGGAAATCAATAGTATTTAAAAAAGAAAAACGAAGCATCTATTCTGGCTTTTCTCACAGTTCCTACTATAATTTCAACTCTTCAATATATTAAAGCTTCTGAGAAGTGATGCTCAATGACGTGTTGTATAGTTATATAGTGGCCAAATATGTATTGATTGATCATCGAAGGCAAGTTGTTTTACTAATTTACTCTCTCATGTATATGTGCTTATGACACCCACACATACATCCAATCAGACAAATTTGTACATATGTGCTGTAAAATACATTTACAATTACAATGTAGTACGCTTTATGTAATGTTGAGACAGAGTGTCCCATCCTGTCTGTCGACAGATCATAGACAAAGACATCAACAAGTAATGGAGATAATAGATTTTCATTGGTTTTCTTGTTGCATAATGTTGCTACTTGTGAAATTGAGAAAACATCAAGCATATGCTACAATTTTATTCAGCATGTTTGGTTATCATTTTTCAAAAACACTTTTCAGAAAATTCTACTTTCTTATTTTTTGTGTTTTTTTGTTTTTATTGAATTTTTTTAATATTTTGAGCAATTTTTTTAATTTTTAGACATACCTAACATATATATACCTAAAAAGTAAAAAAAAATTGAAAAAAACCTTTTAAAAATTCACTAAATACCAAAACTACAAAAAAAATACGAGAATTTAGTACATTTTTTTTTTGTATTTTTATGTATTTATTAATTTTTAAAAATATTTTTTCACAAATTTTTTACTTTTTAGATACATCTAAGTAAGGTGCATCTAAAAAAGTAAAAAAAAATGTTTAAAATTTTAAAAACATTCACTAAGAACAAAAAACACGAAAATAAAAAAACTCAGTTTTCAAAAAACTTAATTCAAAAAACTCAAACCAAACACACTGATTGTTATTTTTTTTTAAAAAAATTTTGATACGTAAATACGAGTAACATTTCTTTTTGTTGTTATACTGAATTCTGGAATATACACCATTATCCAAACTTAATCTAAGATTTTTTCCCTCTATATTTTCCTCTTCAAGGATGGTTCATGTAATGGCCTACAACACTACGCTGCCCTTGGGAGGGACAAGGTAATAAATTCTCTATCACTTAGCTCATATGAAGTTGTTCACTTCTGGCCATGGTTGTTGTGTTCTTGTATTGTAGTGAAAAAAATTACTTTCGTTCAGTTAGGAGCAGCTGCAGTCAATCTTGTCGCAGGAGAGAAGCCTGCAGATGTTTACTCGGGAATTGCTGCTAGGTACACAATTCTCTTCAGATGATATATATGTTTTCTTTTCTAGTTTCTTTTTCTTCCCTCGTTTTGTTGGTGTGTGTGTGTGTGTATATATATATATATTTTATCTATTAATAAAGGAAGAAGGGAATTCGTAAGTGACATGTACATCATTACTAGCTTCCGTTAACCAATATTTGGGAGGCTGCTAATTTTCAGTTCTGTAAACTTTAGAGGTGAACCATCTTGATTAAATTCTCTACGAACATATAAGTTGGGTGTGAAGTGTGAAAAATTAGTGTTGGGATTAGAAGAGAGAGAGAGAGAAATAAAGAAGAGAAGAGAATCCGATGAATAGGTTTGGGTGTATGTCAAACCCTCCACCTTAGATCAAATTTTATGTTAGAACAATAGAATGTGATAATAGTATCCTGAATGCAAAATAACATAAAACATACAACAAGAAAAATACTCTGGAAAATCAATATCCCCAATAACAATGAAATGTCTGGATCCAGTCTGAACATACCCTGATCAATGTTATTTATGGTCTCTTCTCTGATTCTGAGAAACAAATTACTAACTGGAAACAGAAAAGAATAGAGGTCATGTCTTTGTTCAGGTGCTAAGTGCACTGGATGACCAGCTTGGAGATGGATCAAGGGAGTTTACCTCATGGTCCTTGTGTGGAGCTCATGAATGAAAATTTATATTGTGTTATTACATGGAGGTGCTTAGACAGATCTGATAAAGATGCCTTGGCTTGTGACATCCTCTTGAATCACAATTGTGAATCTCCTCTGTAAATAGTATGATATTCTTGCTGTGATGCAGAGTTCTTGATATTATGCGGAGAGATGCAGAAAAAGATCCTGCAACTGATCCGAATGCATCGCGTGCTAGGCTTTTAATTAATCAGGTTCGGCTGCTTCTCATGTTCATTTAATTTAATTCATGTATAAGATATCGTACTGAAAATAGATGCATTGAACTTGTTAAAGCCACAATAATTCTCTACCATTCTTAAGAATTTGGGTAATTCAGATAGGTGCTTCCCAAATTTCATTACTTCTCCTGAACCTAATTGAGTTTTATCACTGATTTCCTACCTTGCAACTGGAAATCTTCAGGTAGACAGGAAATTAGTTAAGCAAACGGTGATGACATCAGTGTATGGTGTGACTTATATTGGTGCCCGTGACCAAATCAAGAAGAGGCTAAAAGATCGTTGTGCCATTGAAGATGATGATGAGTTGTTTGCAGCATCTTGTTATGCAGCAAAAGTAAGTGCATACAGCTGTAGTACATCTTTAACTTTGTTGGTTTTTGGCTTTTTTTCCAATCAAATAACTATAATTACGACACGGTGGTCTACAAAGTCACAACAGCAATTTGTTATAAATGTTGGGGTACCTGCTTTTTCACATTCTCAGCCTGACAATTTGTTTCCCTCTATATATTAAGGAAGGTTTAAGTTAACTGTGATTCACTGTATGGCAGACCACCTTGACTGCATTGGGTGAGATGTTTGAAGCTGCACGAAGTATCATGAGTTGGCTCGGTGACTGTGCAAAGGTCTGTTCAATTTAATTTCTGATGTTTTGCTTAGTAAAAGAGATATGTACAGATTGTGACCGTCAATAGCTGTGAAGCTAATCCGTGTGTGCAAAAATGGGTAAATATGTTACATGACGATTGCGTTGTGGTGGTTGTCCAATAGGTAAAAACAAAATAACAATGCATGTGATGGGAAAATGCTGTTTAGTGTTGAGTACTGTTATTTTTTTGCTGCAGTCACAAGTCACCCCATGCAATCAGTTTGCTGCCCATTCGGTTTTTGTTGTACTCCTACTCCAATAAATTATGAATTAAGTTCATATATGGTCATGTTTTTCAGTTATGTAATTTTATTAAGTTCAGGCGTCACATGTACTCTAGAAATCTGAACTACATGTTTGCCTATCAAATTTAATGGATGATGAAGTTTTGGTGATGACTCAAACCGGTGTGAGCATGGGCTTGTGTGGTGTGCGAGCGTGTGCGAGCGGGAGCTTGTGTGGTGTGTCACGTGTGTATCATAAACATCCTCTGTAGTGAATTTATATCCCAAATAAATGTCAGCCGTTTCTGAATTTGCAGTATTGACCTTGCCACATTGTTGTCTTGATCACTCAACTTTGGTGTAATTCACATCCGCACATTTCCATTGCTCTTATTGGTAGCCCGCTTTCCTTGTATGAGAGTTTTATGTTCTCTGTCTAACTCTGTGGTCCTATACAACATCACCATCATCTTTTATTTTTATTTTATTTGTTTAACCTCTTCTGGATGGGGATGTTTTGTGGCATTCATTTCCATTGACTGAAAACTGAAGTTAAAACAGATTATAGCTTCAGAGAATCATCCAGTACGGTGGACTACTCCTCTTGGACTTCCTGTTGTGCAACCATACCGCAAATTAGGAAGGCATCTCGTAATGTTCGGAGACTTTTAAACCTCATAATAGTTAATATTGTTATTCCTATATATATATTTTTAGATTCTTTCCCCCTCTTTGATATGTCACTAAGATTCGAGTTTTTAACTGGATGCAGATTAAGACTTCTCTCCAGATCTTGACACTACAACGAGAAACTGACATGGTAGCTTCCCTGCTTTAGTTCTAATTTTCTTTGTTAATCTAACTGCCTTAAGATCTATATATTTACTAAAAGAGCTTGAGTTTACTAATTTCTCACTTCATGTTCTCTTTATTTAGTAATCTGACAAATTTTCATTGGGAAAACAAAATTCATTGAAGATATATAGACCGATGAAAATGTTAACACCATCGTCTACCTGATAAAAATAGGTCATGGTTAAGAGGCAGAGAACAGCTTTTCCTCCAAATTTTGTTCACTCTCTTGATGGTTCCCACATGATGATGACTGCTGTTGCCTGCAAAGAGGCAGGCTTAAATTTTGCAGGTTTTGTAGTGATTCTCTCTCTCTCTCTCTCTGTGCATTCATCTTGAGTTGGTAATTCTAACTACTTTGTATCAATATGTGGTCACAGGAGTCCATGATTCATATTGGACACATGCATGTGATGTTGACCAAATGAATAGAATACTCAGAGAAAAGTTTGTTGAACTCTATGAGGCACCAATTCTGGAAAATGTAAGCATCTTTGCTTCTTGTGTTACGCTCTACTTGAGAAAGCCCGTTTTGTTTTATGTTTTCAATTTGCCTTAATCATGCTGTAGTCCACTGAGTGGGAAAGAAAAAGAAAAATCCTAGTAAATTTGCGGTCACTGGACTAATTTATTGGAGAAATAATATGCAAAATAAGGATGATGTTAATTTTATGGGGGATTTGGTCAAAACCCCTTCATAATAAAATTTTAATGCATTAAGGACAAGTACAAAATGTTAGTCTAACAAATATCACTATTATTAAAATATTAAACTTTAAAATAATATAACTTTGATGTAGATGTCGATTTTTAATAAAATTAATATTTTTAGAATTCTTTGATTAAGATTTATCAAATAAGATCCATGTTGACTATGAAATTCTTTAAAAAAAATAAATTATTACCGTTAAAATTGATGTAAATAGTAATAGTAACATGTTATTCTGTTTGACAGTAACATGTTACTTTGTGTCAAAGTAACATGTTACTCTGTTTGACAATTACTCTATTTGACAGTAACATGTTACTCAGGCAATATTGTCCCATAAAGGAAAAAAAAAAAGAAAAAAGAAGAAGATATTTTACTTTGTCCTTACTCAATTATGTGTTTTCTCCTTTGGGGGTTTATGAAGAAAAATAAATTGGGCTGTCCTTTTTACCAAGGGTTCAATGGAGGGGTTTTGAGTAAATTTTCCTAATTTTATTGATGAGGCTCCATGTTTCAAAAATAAATAAATAAATAAAAATGATTTCCTTATACTGGTAAAATTAGGAAACTAACTGAATTATTAGTTTTTTTTTTTTTATACAAGGTATAAGAAAATTGTTGTAAAAATCATTTCCTTATCATTTGCCCTCCTTTTGTAGTTATTGGGTTATCAAGAAGTTGATGTATAGATTTTTTATTTTTTGTGAACAGCTATTGGAGAGCTTTCAAAAGTCCTTCCCCACCCTAAATTTCCCCCCTTTACCAGAGCGAGGAGACTTTGATCTAAGAGAGGTGTTGGAGTCTCCATATTTTTTCAATTAAGCGAGCAGTTCTGCCATGTCAAGTTCACTTGTATGTCTGTCTCCATCATTTTGTGACAAGTGATGGCACATGTATTCTTTGATTCATGGGCACGGCAATGAAGGAGGTGAGTCCGGCAACTATTATTAGAAAAACTGGAGGAAGAAGGATGGGTATACAACTCCGGGATTGGGCTGCCCTCCGTCCATGAACCCGGGGTCTATAGTTTGTACATAAGTCCAGAAAGATGTCCTTTCAAGTCTGAGTCGGCTTTGTGCTTTGTACTCCATGTTATGCTCAAGGAAGTTGGGGATATCACAAATCACAGAAAATGTGGCAGTTGGTCTTTGCCGCCTTGCAACATATACTAGAGGATAGCTGTAGCGGATTAGGAATGTTCAAATTGATGAATTGACAGGAGAAGATTAAATCATCTGCGACCATTCTCGACTTCTCCACTTCATAATGATGAGGAAGGGGTTTAAGAAATACTGTAGATTCGCAGATAGAATAGTGATGAGGAAGGGTGCCATTTTTTTCTTTTTTCTTTTTTTTGAGACCTTTAGTAGTTGTAGCACATTCTGTTTTGTGCTCACACATTTGATGATCAAATTTTTTGTATTAAAAAAAATTCTGTATTATTTAAGAACGAACTCAAAATTTATTTGTAATACAAAATAACAGAGGCAGTGCCAATTCCTCTTGAAGGCTTTATTGAATGTTCTATAGTGTGTGGTGTGGAGGTGGCAGTGATGGGTTGGTAGTGGGTAGTAGTGGTGGTATCACTTATTAAAAATGCTAGACACTCTAAAATTTTTACTAAAAGTTCTACCAAATATCTCTCATGAGTGTGGAACTGACATGAGACTCACATTGTGTGGGTTTCACACCTATGTGAGATATTTAATAAAAATTTTGGTAGAATTTTTGAGATTACTAACATTACTCGTCACTTATAGCTTTGTTTTGTGATAGCTTCTCTCAGTTTATTATTTTCTACTTTTTTCACATTTTTTTGTTTTGAGGACTTTTTCTCTTGTTTGTTACACTAAAAAGTTACTCATTTTGTTGGCACAAATATAAAAAAGAGTATTACTAAATACCAAGTTACTCATTTTTTTTTTGAATGATTATTTTAACAGACATTATAATCCAATGAAGACTTGAATCGTGGTGACTTTCATTAATGGCATGGTGTTTCATCTAATTCTAAATTCTTCGGCTACAGAAAAAGATATCAAGAAATTATTTTTTATTTTTATTTATCTCTCTAGGATAAAATTGTTGTTAAAAAATTTATACATTTGGCAAATACTAAGAACATTAGCTTAGTTGTTATTGAGAAAGTTTATGCAGCATGATATGTAGGGGTGAGCATGGTCCGGATTGAATCGGATTGGAGTAAAATCAGGACCGATCCATTATCTACGGATCTTGAAAAATTGGAACCAATCCAATTCGTTTAAATTGTGGAACCAATCTGAACCAATCCATTTAAACACGGATTGGATCAGTTTAGGACCACAAATTTATATAATTAGATAACAAAAAATATATATATAACACTTTAATTTCATAAAAATATAAATATAGCACCATATTAGTTTCACAATAGCAACATGTCTTTTCGTAATAGCGACAAACTGTTCTAGAATTTAAACAACCATAAGAAAACTAGTTCCACCATAAATATTTAGACCATTACAAATTAACACTAAAAACTAGCAAACAAAAGTAATAAAAGAAGATACTATGCAAGTTTAGGTTTAGATTTAAGTTTTATATGAAATAAGAGAAGATACTATGCAGGAGGGTGTATAATAAAAATATAAACTATTTGTATACGGTCTGGATTGGTTCCAATCCGGGACCAATCCATGAACTACGGATTTTTAATTTTTTAATCCAGAACCGAACCACGGATTCAAAAAATGAATCCAAACCTACTGGATTGGACTGGATCGGATTACGGATTTCATGGATTCCTTGCTCAGCCCTACATAGATATGGACCTTTTTCTTTTTTGGTTTTAGCAAGTTTTTTAGATTTTTACAGATAAAAAAAAAATAAAAAAATCATACTATTTAAATCCTTCTAGACAAAGACGTCAATAATATAATTTTTTAAAATTTTACTACAAAACCAAAAAGAAAAAAAAAAAGTTGCAATTACCCAACATCCTATTAAAATTGAAAAAATTACACTAATGATCCCTAGTGTCAATTTAGTAATTTTAAATTGTGATAAATTCAACTTTCAATTTTAGAATTGTTTTCAATCAAGGACAATCTCTGACGGAAGTTTCATTTTTGGACAGAAATTACTCACGTGTAGTGCACATGAGCATTGTTTAAGGGTAAACTTGTCTTTTTAGAACTCTTCCTCCTTTTCCTTCCTCTTGTTCCCCATTTATAGTCACTCTTGCTAGCCTCTCGGCCACAATTTCACCCAAAAAACAACCAACTTGCATTGGCCCCCGCATTGTCATTAAATTATTTTTTTTTTAAAAAAAATTCAAAATCAATTGCTAACCTAGATAATGTTGGAGGTGGTGGGTTCTGATGTGTGTGTTGAAAAAGTGTTTTTATTTTTTTGATTGGCATAGTAAAATAAAAGAGTATTTGGAGAGAGGAGCGAAATCAATTGACACTACAATCAATAAAAACTCATCCTCACCAACACCATTCAAACCCATCCCCAACATCACCACAAACCCACCACCAAATGTGTGTGTGTGTGAGAGAGAGAGAGGGAGAGAGAGATTTTGTTACGAACACCACTACCATGGCCACTTGGACCCCCACTGCTAACCCCTAACTTCATGTTACGAAGTTGTCTTGCAAGGTCAACTTCGTGACGTTTTGCTCGTGGTGGTGTGACCATTTGAGTGCTCAAGAGTGGCCCTTGGAAGTGCCTAGGTGATGGGCATCGAGATTCCAGGTCAGTGGTTCGGTGCCTTAACGTGGCCCTAAGCAGCCCAAGGCATACATGCCACCATGTAGCCAGTAACAAATCCAAGCAGCAAGGCCGCAACCTAGGCCACAGACAGGCCACAACACAGGCCGTAGCACATGCCAGCAGCCAACTACAGGCCACGACTCAGGTTGCAACCTAGGCCGCCTGCCAATCCTGTCGCCCACAGCCTAAGCCGCAGCTCAGGTTGTGACCTAACAGAGCAACCAGCAACATCAACTAACAGTGTAGAGTTTTGGCATGTTGTTTGGGCATCCAAATGAAGGAGTTTTGGGCTGAAATTTTTACTAGAAAGAGGTCTTGGGGGAAGTGTTTTCCCAACCAAGTTTTGTGATTTTTCTCAATTTGTGAAATTTTTAAAAAATCGTTATGACTCCTCGGATATAGGGCATATTTCCTCTTGCTAGTTTGTCAAAGGCTTAACAAGCATATATAAGGGGGCATGGTGTGCTACCTACCTGCCTCCCTGTCCAAACTGGGCTTGAAGTGTGCAACCTTGGAGCAACTCAAGAGCGGGCTTTAGGCATCTAGAGGGGGGTCTAGAGTCTCAACGCGGGTTTGGGAGCCTCGTGGACGGTGTAAAAATGTAAGCACTGTGCGTGCCTCCTGGGCACGAGGTTTAATACGTTGTTTCCATTATGCCACACGTTATGGCATCTTTGGGAACTCGTTTTAGACTGAATGGGCTATCGAGGCACCACCAAAGGCCTTGTGTGCCAACTCAAGTGTTTGGTTTGGGTTCAACCTTGTACAAGGGGAATCCGTGGCTTAAGCTAAGCGGTTGAAAGGCAACACTGCATATGTGGGTTATTGAATGAAAGCATCAAGCTATGCATTAACTAAATCCATTGGGGGATGACATTATGCTACAAGCAAGTTACGGATAGAGACGTTGCCTTACTTGAGTGACACGGTGTAACGCTAAGGTGCGCAATGGCCTTAGGCAGAATCTAACACTCGTGTTGTCACGAGGACTACGCTGTGGGCAAGAGATTGACCCTCGGTGTCTTGTGGGCTATGCATGACCATGTGGGCATCCAATATGCATCGATTGACAGATGCTTAACTCCAAGACACTTCGAGGTGCTGTCAAAGACCTAACATGTTATGTTGGCTTATCGGCTAAGTCGAGGGCCTTCGCTAGCACATTTTTGTGTGGCTTGGCACTAAGACATGAACCTAAGTTGGGTGAGCACCTTGCTTGAGATAAGCTTGGCATTATGAAGTGACTTATGTCGTGCTTGGTGCACTTGAGGCGTCAGGCCTACTTGTGGCATCCGGGTGAAGATGGAGCTTCCTTGTGGAGTTGTTCTGCTTGACAAAGCATTGAAAACGGGTGAGATCTTTAACACTCGATTTGTCGATGAGTTATGGCGGGCTTAAACTTCGTGGAATTTGAGTGCCACACGGGCAAAAAATTGATCCATTGCACCTCTAAAGGAGTTGGACCGTGACACTTCGCCACCCTATGCCAACCTTTGGGAGTGTAATTGTGGGTTATGTGACACAAGAAGTTGGGGATTTGGGTTGTCAAGTTTGGGATACTAAAACTGAAACTTGGTTTGAAGATTTCTATTTGTCTGCAGGCTTATGGGTGAACAAAATCTGTGTTCTGTGGAGGAAGTTTCTATGTGAGTTGATAAAGCAAAGGATTTGGAGAGAGGTGAGGTGCACCGGTGGTTTTATGGTGGCTGAGGTATTAGAGAGATCAATGGTGGTGCGGTCTAGGTGAAATTACCAGTTTACCCTCCAAAGAAAGCACATGCAGAGCAATTTCTGTCCAAAAACAGAACGGAGTCATCAATTGTCCTTGATCGAAATCATTTTCAAAATTTAAGATTAAATGTGTTTCAATTGAAAAGTTAAGGATCAAATTGGTACAATGAGTAAATTTTAAGGACTATATGTGTAATTTGCCATTTTTTATTTATTTTTAATTTATTAATTGTCAATGTTTGATATTGAAATTAAGTTTGGCGTGGGTCTGTTTTGATGTGAGCCAACGTCATGTGGCCATGTGGTCGATGGCGTTACACATATCCTCTCTTATGGTTGCTGAACAGAAAGGGTGTCATTTTGTTTTGATTTTTACAGATAGTTAAGTTTTTGTGAACGCCCTTCATGGCAAGATCAAGGCAGATTGGGATGTTAATATGGTTATATTAGATATAAAGAATCTTATGCCAAGTTTGGCTACTGCCAAAAAAGTGCACTTATTTCATCTTTTTATCTTTTTTGGGTCACATCAATCAACATCTCCTCTCTACTTTTTCTACACATAATACAAAAAAAGTAAAAAAGTGCACTTATTTAGTCTTCCCAAACTAGGCCCATTTTCCAACTATCTCTAAGGTTGATCGATAATTGAACCACCTCATAAACTTGCTCGGTCTGTTAATGGTTTCTACTATGCTATAATATTTTTCCTTTCTCACAAAAATAAAAATAAAAAAAAATAAAAATAAAAGTTTAAATTATATTTAATCTTTGTTGGACTAGAAGTCTAAATTTTATTTTGTTTTAATTTATTATAACATGTTCTATAAGTTGTTATAGTTTGGGAGATTTACGTGTAGGTCTTAATAAGTGGACTTCTTGTCCAGTAGGCTCTATGATAATTAATAGCATTTTTCATTAAACACTATTAAAAAATGTCATTAATTGTTAATTTTTAATGACAATATGAAAATTGTCACAAAAAATGTCACTAATTATAGGTTTTAGCGATAGTTTAAAAAAATCGTCACTAAT